TTATAGGACATTATTTTCTATGACAACTTTTATCCTTTAATAAAGCCATCTCTCCTATCTTCTGTGAAAATGTTTTCATATGCTTGGAGGAGTCAGAAATATTTGTTAACAGGTTGAGTGTGAAAAAACCACTTTGATACATTCATTGGTTTAGCCATTCACTTTTTTTTTTCTTGATACATTCATTGGTTTAGTCAATCACTTTTTAAGTTGGTTTAACTAATAACTTTTAGTTATTAAGCAACAAATGAAAGTTTTAGAGTTTCCAGTCAATAGGTTTCTCGTGAAAATTTGTCATGTTGATATCTAATGTCCTTTTTGGTCTAGCAGATAGATTCCTGTTTGTATATTTTTAACAAGTGCAACATTTTTAAGTATACTCTATTTAGCGGAAACCTGAGTAACAAATTTAAGTATACTCTATTTAGCAGAAACCTGAGTAACAAATTTAGGCATTGACATCATTATATCAATAGTTCATCATTCATTTAAAATTTGAATGCAGCAAAAGTAAATCCTAAAAGTGAATGTAAAGAGTAGGAGCAAGTTAAAAATTTTTTCAAAAGAAAAGGTTTTAAAAATTTCTTAAGAATAATATCTAAACAATATATATTTCTTGAGAATAATATCTAAACAATAATGAAGTTACCCAATGAACCACAGTGTTCGCCAGACTCAAAGTCTCCCTTGATCCAATCTTTTTGTTATTAAGAAATAATATAGTAGTTAAGTAAAGTGAACTTCCATAAAAATAAATAAATAAAAAATTCACACATTTAGGCTTTAAATAAAAAGGAAGGGCTGGAACATGGTTAACTACATCTTGCATAACTTCAAGAGGAAAAACAATTTTATCTTACTTTACTCTTATTTTTAATCAAATTTTGTACTTTGTGCATATTATAAATGTATTGAAAATTGTTAGAACCTTCTAAAAATAGATTACATAGTAAAAAAAATGTAGGTATATAAAAGTAATAATTAATGAAATAAACGCATTTAGTGTAAAAAATAGTTTTATGCATTTTACATAATAATGTTCAGACTAATAATATCCAGACTAATAATATCCAGACGAAGCTTTGTAATAGTAGTGTAATATTTTAACAAAAATCAACAGCAACTTTCATGCTAATAAAACATAATCAAATTTATAATTTTTGACACAGTGGGGACAACAATATATTAACATAATAAGTAATGACATAATAACTATTTATAGTTTTAATAACATGTTAAATATTGATAAACATCTTATTTATTTAAAATATCTTATTTAAAACATCATATTTATTTAAAACATATTATTTATTTAAAACATATCATTTATTTAAAACATATTACCTATTTATTAAAAGCTGAAAATTCCACTTGACAATCACTTAAGATTGAGTAACCATCTACTTGTTCTGAGTAACCATAACCATAGTAACCATCTACTTGTTCTGAGTAACCATAACCATAGTAACCATCTACTTGTTCTGAGTAAATTCCAAGTTTATTATCATTATTAATACTTTTTAGAAAGGGTACATAGTTAACAGCAATATAAACTTTTTCATGTATATTTAAGGAAATATTTTGAACAAATATATTTAATTAAATATAAAATGAATTCCACGCCAGCAGATTCAATATCATTATTTTTTCTCCAAAAGTTGTTCGCTAAAGTTGTAGATATTCCAATGTAAGCAGCTCAGGTACTGGGACTAAAATTTCTATAATTTCTTAGTATAAAACTCTTGGATTAATTATATTCTTAAAATCAGCCATTTGATTTTGTTTCCCAGTCTCAGCATATTTACTGATTGTCATATGTAATGATAATCAAGGAAACAATCGTTTATTTTTCTCCGCCATTTAAAAGACTTTCTCCTTTACACCACGAACAACTTGATTTATTTTTTTAATAAATTAAAATCCTCATTTTGGCTTTTAAAACCAAAAATTATATAAATTATTTTAAAATTATTTTCAATACTATTTCAAAACCCAAGACTTTTTCTAAATATAGAATAAATTTTTTGGTTTAACACTGAGATAGTTCTAAACATTTTATTCATGGTTGTTTCAAAAGACACTTGATCACAAATAGACTTGATCACTTTTTTTGTCCGTAGCCTCAGCTACGGACAAAAAACCGCTATGCACATGTTGATTCCAATATTTATATATAACTTTTTAAAAACAATAAATGTTTTTATAACAATAAAGTTGTCCAATAATTACGTCAACAAAATAGGGGAGAGTGGGGTCTGAACTTTTTTGACAATTGTTGACAAGGGGGAGGGGGAGGTCAATTAAAGTTGATGTCAAATTTTTTTTTATTATTTTTTTTGAGTTTCATTGCTTTAATAATGGAAAATTTGGCTGAGTTTGTAGCGTAGCTTCTTTGTATAGGGGGGGGGGGGGGGTAATCAAAAAGTGACGTAATTTTATAAGGGGGGTCTCTGGAAATTTGACAAATTATTGACAAGAGAGAGGTAAAAATTTCTATAAATTTGTTGACGTAATTAATGGACAGCCCCAATCGCTTCAAATAACTTCAGGATGGTTTGATTACCAAAAGTTTTAAAACAAACGGCACTTATATGTTCCATTTAATGATATTAAATTAGTCAACAATTTATAAATCGTTGTCCTCATTTATCTACAGTGAAGTTGCTGCGCACCAAAGTATGTTTAAATTGCCAAAACGCCGGTTTTTGATTGAGAAATCAAAACTGTTTTGTTAAAAATGGCGGATTTTTTTACCTAAATATTTTGTTTGTTTGTTTGGTTGGTTTTCATAAATTTTCCAATCCACTTGAGGTTTTTATTAACCAAATATTTAATTAATATATGTAACTCTCGCCTCTTATCGCAGAAGTTAGGCTCTAAAGACTTTTGGAAAATCTTCAACAGCATTGTTAACAAGGGTAGATCTAACATTCCATCTCTCATTCATGGGACTGATCTTGTTACCTCTCCCAGGGATAAGGCAGAACTGTTTGCAAAGAACTTTTCTTCTAATTCCACTCTTGAATCTTATGGACATTCTCTTCCTTCCATTCCAGTCAAACAGGTTGACCCATTGTTAGACATTCAAATCACTCCGGCTTCTGTTGCTAAAGTCATATCTCAATTAAACTCGTCTACAGCTTGTGGTCCAGACAACATTCCTGTCACAGTCTTGCAGAATTGTTCTCCAGAACTTTCTTCAATTCTCTCTAAACTATTTAACAAGTGTTTGACTGAGTCCTGTTTTCCTGCTTGTTGGAAAATGGCATCTGGTTCCAATATTCAAAAACTCTGGAGAAAATTCTGACCCCTCCAATAATCGTCCGATCAGTCTTCTTTCTGTTATTAGCAAGGTCTTTGAGTCTTTAATCAACAAATTCCTCACATCTCATCTTGAGTCAAATAAACTGCTGTCAGACAATCAATACGGTTTTCGGTCCTCTCGCTCTACGGCCGACTTGCTAACTGCTGTAACTGAAAGATTTTATCGTGCATTAGATGGAGGCGGTGAGGCTAGGGCTATTGCTCTCGACATATCTAAAGCTTTCGACAAAGTTTGGCATGCTGGTCTTTTCCATAAGCTTGCTTCATATGGTGTTTCTGGCAAAGTTTTTGAGATTATCAAATCATTTCTTTCTGACCGGTTTATTAAAGTCATCCTTGAAGGCCAACACTCTTCTTTATTTCCAGTAACTTCTGGGGTTCCCCAAGGTTCCATCCTGGGCCCTGTTTTGTTTCTTATCTACATAAACGATCTTCCTGACAACCTTTCATCTAAAGTAGCTCTTTTTGCTGATGACTCAACTTTATACTCCTGTCTTGACAAAAAGTCTTCTCTTTTCGATCGCCTAGAACAAGCAGCTGACCTTGAATCTGATCTCACTTCAGTAATAGATTGGGGTTCACAGTGGCTTGTGAATTTCAACTCTAAAAAAACCCAATTGCTTACTGCAAACAACTACCGTAATATGGTCAACATTCCTATATTAATGAATGGCAATCCTCTTACTGAGTCGTCCTCTTTACGTCTTCTTGGATTATCGCTTACTACTGACCTTTCATGGAAACCATATATACAATCGATTGCTAAATTAGCTTCTGCTAAGGTTGCTTCTCTTTATCGTGCTCGCCATTTCCTTACTTCTGATTCCATTCTCTACCTCTACAAATCTCTTATTCGTCCCTGTATGGAATACTGTTGTCATATTTGGGCTGGTTCTTCTAACGATTCACTTTCTCTTCTTGACAAGGTCCAAAAACGCATTGTAAATGTTGTTGGACCTGGACTATCTGCTAAGCTTGAACCTCTTTCCCATCGTCGTAAAGTTGCATCTCTTTCTCTTTTCTACAGATACTATCATGGTCACTGCTCAAAGGAGTTATCATCTCTAGTTCCATCAACTAAAATTCATTCTCGTTTTACTCGTCATTCAGCTCATTCGTTTTCTGTATCTGTCCCTGCATGCTCTAAAAACTTTTATTCATCTAGTTTTTTTCCCTGCACTTCAATCCTTTGGAACTCTCTCCCATCTTTATGTTTTCCTGACTCATACAACCTTCAACTTTTTAAGTCTTCTGTCAACCGTTTCCTTGCTCTATAACTCTGTTCTTTTTTTTTCCTAGTAACTCCGAACTTAATAGTGGTTGCTTGCAGCCTTGTTGGGAGTGAATGCAAATAAAAAAAAAAAAAAAAAACTAAGTATATGCAAAATAAATTTTGATGTGGGGAGACTTGGTAATTACTTGGTAATGCCTGGTAATCACTGTAGCTCATAAGCTACACCTGTAATTACTTGGTAATTTATTGTGTACTAACTTTTAATTTACCAGAAGAAAAAGAATTAAAAAAGTTGATGTAACTTGAAATTATAAAATTTTATCTCAATACTGAATTTACAAGGAATTATTTTTTTTATTATTATTTGATTTTAAAATTTGCATCTATTTAATCATTAACTATTAATCAAATCAAAAATCCAAGTCAATTTTTATTTTTTATAGTTTTAAATTGTTTTACGAAAATTTTTACCAGTTTTTTTTTACTTATTTCTTTGCATTATGACTTTTAATAATTATCGTTTTTATTTTTCCATTTATCAATAAACAACTTATTTTATCAACTATCGTTTATTTATTGTTATTGTTATCGTTCAACATTATCGTTTATCATTTTATTAACTATTTTTGAAACCGACAAGCTCCCATTACTAATTGTAGTTTTGAATTTTTTTCGTCAAATTTCGAAACTAGTTTACTTAATTATAAACATTTCTTTTGTTGAGTTTTTATTTTTTTGATTTTAACTTTTAAATATATATAGGAATATAACTTTTTTTCAAAGTATTACTTTTAATTTATTACTTATTTTTATTTAGAAAAATTGGTAATGCGTTGAGTAAGCAGGTGTACTTCGTTTATTCAAATAAAAAATCATGAAAACGGATTGGTTGCCATAGCGAATTACTAGTGTTGTAAATAATTCAAATTTGTTTGCTATGAAAGCTACGTTATCCTGAATTTGGCAATTGATCTTTTTTTGAAATATATCATATTAGTATTGAGTTCAAATATATATATTATAAATAAATGTATATACATATATATTTATTGTGGTGAACACGCTTCTAAAAATCGCACGAACGTATTTTTTACAGAAATAAGTCAAAAAATTTTAATTTGTACAACGAAAAACTTTAGTACAAAGAAAAAACTTTTCAATTTATTGTTTGAAGAAAAATTATTAAACTTGTAAAAAGAAAAAACTTTTAAACAAAGTATGTTTACACTAGATGAAAGCTCACAAATAACGTTATGTGTGTTATACAGTGCTGGAGCTGTCTTAAGTATATGGATAGCATTGTTTTCTCCTTACATTTTCGATTGGATGGGTGTAGATGTGCAAAAAAAAGAACAGGTTTCTAACTGGCCAAAACGTTTTTTAATAAGCGTCATATTACAACCATTCACATTTGCTGCAGCAGCAATCGCTTTGTGGTGGTCTCCAGGTACAGTGTTGATCCCACCCATTCATTTTCTCATATCCTTGATTTGTTTAATCGCTATTGATGTAGTCAGAGAGGAAGAACCATGGGAGAAGGGTTATACGCGTCTTTTTTAAAATGCAGAACAACATTTACGCGTCTTTTTTAAAATGCAGAACAACATTTAAAATGAAAATCTTTTAATAAAATTTTGATAAAACTTATAACGTCATTTATTTGTATCTAATATTGTAATGATACTTTATGTTCTATAATATCTCTCTTTTACTTGTGCAATATTTTTTTTTTAATGTTTTTTTTTTTTTTAATATTGTTGAAAATAATCCAATTTAATTACATCATTTCGTAATTCTGTTTTTGTTTACACGATGATTCCTTGGATCATATTAAGATTATTAATAATCGTTTCAACGATCATTAATAATTAACTTGATATTCACTAGATGACTGGATCAGTGTGATGATCTGTGCACGGTGATTTTTATAATGACCATAAATATTTCTTTATAGCTTATAGAGCAAAAATTTATCTAATATTCTAAATATGGTCTGAGTTATTAATGATTAATCCTATAAAATGTAATTAATAAATCGTAAATTTAATTAATTTAAAATCTATTATATTAAAATATCTTGTTTTATAGACTTTATGTTTTTTTTTAATATTAACTGATTAAATGAAGCACTAAAATGAAACGTGGGATGAATTTATTGAATTTAATAAAGAAAAAAAAAGACTTTTGGGAATACGGACTTAATTCAAGTTATTAAATAAAATTTGCTGAAGCGCAAATAACAAATAAACAACGTTGTCTGTCTGATGTCTAATATAAAATTTTCGTCTGAAAAAATAAAAAACCTAGAAGTTCTGGCCTAAATATAACATAGTTTGTATTCAAATACAGCACGGTTTAAATTTTTATCCAGCATGGTTAATTAATATAAAAGAAAAAATAGATAAGTTTAAAATTTCATTAGCTTTGTATCATAATTTCATTCATGCTTGTAATACTTCATTCATTTAATATAAAGTTTTAAGAAAAATTGCCATTTCGTTGTCGCCATTTTTAATGTTTATGCTTGCAAACCGTGAAAAGACTATATTTTAAAGTTATTATACGTACGAATGTTGCAAGTGTCTCAAAGATATTATACCATTCTCATCACTAACATATAATGAATTTAATCTATCTTTAAATAGAGCTAAGGAATCATTATGTGAATCTGTATACATTGTTCCATTAAACCTGAAAAACCTTGATGATCTCTAAAGTAATAATATGAATTCTAAATACTATTACACAACAGTATTCAACAATATTATCAAAGATTCTGAAATATACCTACATGTTAATATATCATCATAACGTACTACATTGATGACCTTAAATGTCATATTTCTCTCATGTAAGGCAAACTAATTATTATTGCCATAACTGAAACACGCCTGCAAAATAACAAGATGCCAATAATTTATATATCCTTAGATAGCTATTGAAACCTCATCAAAACCATGAATAATTGTTGGCGTTATTAAATCCATAAATATAAAGAATAAACTTTTTAAAAATTACATTAAATGTAAACTGGAGATATTAAAACTGGAATTTTTCAACCAATTCCAACATTACACAAAAAAAATTAGCAACCTAATTTGTGAATCAAAAAAAACATATTTTAACAAAAATGTTAATACCTCAAAAAAACATGGGTTGGAATAAAAATCATAATAAATAAAAAATAAAAAAATATTAATCCTATAGAAAGTTTACTTGTAAATAATCAGACAAAAATCAAACTGCCAACTTAATTATTATTTCTCCTCAATTGCAGACAATCATCAAAAACCCTCTAATATAAACGCAGACAATCATCAAAAATCCGCTAAGTATAATTTTAGTCACTATCTAAGAAACCGTAATCTTTTTTTACATCCCCAGTTACACCACAAGAAGCAAAAGATTATTTATTGAAAATGAATCCTAAAAAGTGCACAGTTCCTAACACCATTTCCACAAATATACTTTTCTTAGCATCAAAAGAATTAAATCGTTTAAATCCGGAACAGATCCTGACTTATTTAAAATACCAGGGGGTTATTCCAATCATGAAAGAAAGCTCAAACACAAATCATCTTAACTATCAACCAATATCACTACTATTCATAATCAGCAAGTTGCTGAAAAAATTTATGCATAAGAAATAAGAAAGTTTTCTAAGCTAGCACAATTGGTATGGTATCAAAAGAGTTGCTCATTTATGGCCTTAAGCCATAATTGAGCAACTCCTCTAATACTATAATGTTGTAACTTTGATAACAGAATTCCATGATCCACAGTAATCAAATGCTTTCTGTAAGTCAATAAAAACCCCGCAAGTAAATGTGTTATTGTCTAAAGTCTTGCGCATAGTTTCGGTTATGTCTTTGAGTGCATGGTTAGTACAATGTATTTTTGCGAAATCCCAACTAAAGCTTATGTAAACAATTGTGCTAGCTTAGAAAACGTTCTTATTTCTTATGCATAAATTTTATTCAGCAACTTGCTGATTATGAATAGTAGTGATATTGGTTGATAGTTAAGATGATTTGTGTTTGAGCTTTCTTTCATGATTGGAATAACCCCCTGGTATTTTAAATAAGTAACTTCTTGAATCGTTTTCAATTTATTACGATTTATGATATCTCTTCTAATACCAAATCAATATCTGTAGGTCTTCCCCAAAGTTTCATTCTAGGCCCTATCTTTTTTATTATCTACATTAACGACTTAAACCCATGCACTAAGTTCTCAAAAACGTATCATTTTGCTGATGACACTAATGTCCTAATAACTAAAAATCACTTAAAAAATAAATCAACACCTTAATTACAACCTGGCCTGTTTGGTTCAATGGTTAAGATCCAATAAAATATCCCTAAATGCTAAAAAAACTGAAATAATTATATTTAAGCCACACTCTTACAACTTCATAAAATGTTAAATTTCAGAATAAATGGCCAAAAGTTAATTTTTGGAAGAAAGCATTCCAAGAAGAATCTAAATTAGAATTTCAACTTAGAGTATAAACTATTAATGCAATTTTGGGTGATGAAAAGAATAAATAAATAAATAAAACATTTAGAAATAATGTTAGGAAAATGTCTTTCAGACACCAAATGAAGCAGACTGCACTTAAACTCATTTGTGCAAATGTTGACAAAGGTCAGGCATTTTGTCAGCTACGAGCTATTATAAATTTGTTACTAAAAATCATTGCCATAATCTTAGATCAGCATCGCATAACAACCTTGTAAATATCAATCCATTAAATCATGGAACTATCTTCCCTATGAAATCAAGACAACATGTTTAAAAAAAGGAAATAGAGCTCTCTTTATCAATAAAGTTAAGGAACTTATCCAAAATAAAAATGATAAATATAGTTTCTACTCTATTATTTATTTCTATAATTATTTTTCATGTTGTTTTGACCTTTATTTTTATACCTGTGAAATTTAAGTTATTCTTGCTTTTTTTTAAATAGCATTGCTATTGTTGATGTACTTGTTACTGTATTGATATCGTTCTAAATAAGTGCTGTTTTTTTTATTATTTTTAGTGTTATTGCTTTTTTTTTTTTTTTTCTTTATTATTATTATTATTTTTATATTACTGATACTATTATTATTTATTACCTGTACTTTTTTCAAATTTACAGTGAATATTTGTAGGTTGTCACATTTTTGTTAGTTATATAACTATTTGTCACTGATCTTGACTTTATGAATTGAAATAAATGATTGATTGAATACCAAAGTGAAATGAATGGTTGATTGAATACCAATTTGCATCAACGATTAAAAGAATTTACGTCAAAGATTAAGCGTTTATGTACAGTCTTGATATCGTTTATTTTTTATTTACGAAACAAAAGGTTGAACTTCCATCTGCTTTATGCATCCACGGATAAACAAACTAATATAATTATTATACTAAATTTGCAACTAAATTCACAACAATTTGTTTGAATTATTTTTACAAATATAAACAAAAGTATTAAAACGACATAAAGCTGTAAGATTTTGGACTGTCAATGGGTTGGATCTAAACCAGATCCGACCCGAATTATTTGAACCGGGTCTGGGTTTCGTTATTATAGATTTAAAACCCGCCAGATCCAGTAGTGAAACGGGTCGGGTATGCATACCCGACCCATTGGCTTAATGGGTCTGGCAGATTTTAGGACTATAATAACGAAACCTAAATCCATTTTAAATAAGTCGTGTTCGGTGTAGATCCACCCTCAGAATATGGAGTAGGTTTGTTGAAAAAGACTGATCTATGTAACAATAATTTTAATGGCGATGAGGACAACAAAAATTATCAAACTGTAAAAATTGTATATCAAGGATTTCAAATAAACAAAATTAAATTGGCATGTGCAAAAAAGAGAAATGAAGAAAAATAAAAATAAGTTTACCTAGTTGTGGAAAGTTGACTGATTCATCTATTGATCGCCTCAAAAACTATTATAGCATTGCAAAACAAAAATAGTTTCAAAGCAATGAAATCTGGTATAAGAACTACAATTGATGACGAAAAATGAAAATCTACACTTATATAACTGTTAAAAAAATGCAGATGGTTGGTGTTTATACTATCTCGACAGGGTAAACCATAGTACTACCAGGCATACCTTCATCTACATCTGAACTTATTATATTTAGTAAGTTATAAGCCAATTTAAGAGCCTTACCATATTATTAATAATGACAAAATGCTGTTTTGTTTACAAAGATTTGATTTCGATTAGAGGAGCGCGTTTTAGCTAAACACGTTTATTGAAAGAAAAAAAACGTCAAATTATATAGCATGTTATTTACCGACCACTAATTTTGAAGAGCAAGCGTTTTAGATAAAACTTTAAAACCCGAAAAAAAAAAAAAAAAAACGTTAAGAAACGCAGACTAGTAATTTCTGACAAAGGACAGGCAATGAGTTAAATAGAAGAGATTCGTATCAAACTGATGCATTCTAAGATTGAAATCTTTTATTTTATCGAGATTTTATTGTTTTAATGTAAGGATTTTCAATGCTGTTTTTCTTAGATAAAAAGTTTTTAAAGACGCTAGAAAACATATCTGAAAATGCTCAAAGATAAAATTTTTAGTATTTCTTATTGACTTCTGCGATTTAAGATCACGAATTTTTTATAACTCAACACACATAGTCAACGAAGTTACACAATTTAGGCTTCATTTACCCTGATTTCAATTCAATATATTGACCGATTATAAAATTACATAAAAACTTACGTTCCGGTTACATTGGCCACTTTACAAAATAAATATCTTAAAAAGATTTAAAATTTTTGTAAATCAGATACATTGGCAAGGGGCTTTGTGGTTTTAGCACCAGTTACAAGTGCCATTTTACCCTCCAAAAATTAAACTGTTAAACTTGAGTAAATTTTCTGGTACTTGAGTTAAACCAAAGTACCAGAAAACTTAACATAAACTAATCCAACTAAATATTCGTTCTGAAAAACCTTATTAATTTAGTGGAAAAGTTAGCTCTAAGACAATTCTAAGACAAAACTAAGTGTATTTTCCAGATTTCAGAAAAGTACGTAACGTAAAATAACTATTTTCATAACCTAAAACGTACACAAGATATTGTTTTAGTACGATAGTGGACAATCTTAATAAAATTAAAAAAAAAAATTATTAAAGAATTTCCAGTAAAACCTTATTTAATAAAAGAATAAAATAGCGGAATTATTTACAGACAATTTTTTGGTTTAAATACAATTAGCCGATTACTGCAACCAGATATTTAGAACTCGCATAATTATTTAAATATTCGCAGTAAAAATATAAGAAAAATGGGACAGTACCCATACCGTTTGGCCTCACTAAAACCATCAGATTGGAAACTAAAATGCTTGTTTAAAGCTTAACATAACATGCAATAAAAAGTAACGAAAAACAGATCGCTATCGTATTTTGGAAAGGTGATTTCTATACCAAATTTTACAAAATCTTCATGAGAAGTTTCGTTTTGAAATTGCTGTTGTCAAATTACTTTGAAAACGTGTCAAATTTCAAAAAGCGGTAAACCATGGCAACGAGCGGTATCTCTATAATTAGAGGGTATTAATTTCGGTAAATTTTAGTTGATTCTGTTAGTTAATCATGTTGATCCAATTCGCTGCCTTTTGCAGGGAGACACAGTTACATCTTCGTCCGGTAAATTCATTTCATCTTCTTCGTCGTCATCGGGATAATCAACGAGACTGGTAAGAAGCTACAAAAAATTAAAATGCATTTAAAGAATAGTATTAACAAAAAAAGAACGTTAAATAAATCAAAAACTAAAAAATATACTGAATTTGTCTTCGGCGGAAACGAAGTCGATTCTTTAATCTCGTCAATTTTATCATTTAAAGATTTATTGTTCGTATCATTGCTATGATTTTCAATTAAAGAATTAAGTATACCAGTGTTTATTTTTATGTTCATTAAAGGTTTGTTATTTAAGCCTGGTAATTGCTTGTTTGTCGAGAACCTTTCTTCGAGGCTTTTATGGCTAATAGGACTGGTTGGCCTTGGTGAATCTGGAAGAATTTTTTGACCACTTTTATGAACTTCAGGACTACCTTTTCGTGAATTTTCAGAAAGTACATTCTTTTGTGGGCTATTGGGACCACTTTTTGTATTATTTTGACCTAACTTTTGGGGACTTGAGGGTCTATTTAATAATGGGATATTATCTAATAGATCAACATCTTTCAATTTTGAGTTTAAAGGTTTCATTGCATTATTAACTTCACTGTTAGTTGTTACGTTTAATTCGTCGTCTTCGGCATCAAACCAATTTTCTTCATACTCGTCAAGTACGCGATCATCGCGTTTTTTACACACACCATCATTTGAATGTATAATACCAGAAACTTTTTCATCTCTAAAATAAATATGGCATATTTAAAATAGGAAACGACTATTAAGAAAGAATAAAAACATTCAAAATAACTAAAAAATAACCTCCCAAAAGCATTCTCTTCTCTGTCTTTATCTTGGTCATACCGAACTTTCAGACCTTGAAATGTTCCAACGTAATTTACATTTGCAAACGCCTCATAATGATTTTCAACCAAATATGTAACTAATGTTTTGATATCCTCCTTATAAAAGAAAAAGAAAAAAAAAAAAAAAAAACAGAAAATATAAATGAACTAATCAAAATACACTTAATGTGAATTTTTATAAGCACTCACCACTCTAATAAATTCAAATAACTCAATGATTGCAGAATTCAACATGTCGTAACGCTCTCCGTTTTTTATAAATGCATCAGCAACAGGTTTCAAAAGCTTTCCAACAGTAATGTAACGATTGTATAATTCATCTTTAAGATTGATTATCTTCCGGCAAAACCTTAGTGCAGCTAAATGCAACAACAATTGTATTAAACATTAAAATTGCAATAGTTGAATACAAAGTAGTAAAAAAAAGTTATAAAGGAAATAAACAAATAAATAAAAATTTCTTCTTTAAAAAAAACATTTTTTTTGTTTTAAAATTGCCCACTATTTTGACTTGAAACTGACAAAAAAAAAAAGTAAGGAAAAAAAAAAAGTAAGCGACAATAACATACCCAAAACAAGAAACTTATGTTTAGACTGCATAAGAACCAGAACTCTTTTCAGTATATCTTTACCAAGGATATGAGATCGTATTTGATGACTGTGGTGAACGACACAAAATGTTAAAAGATCAATCACATGATCAAGAATAACTGCACGTTCGTAGTCGTCTTTTTAAAAAAAGTACCTCATAGTTATATAGTTAACATAGCTAAGTAAAAAAAAACAACAACAAAAAACACACAGATAAACAAGAGATAAGTAAATTACCTTTTCCAGTAAGTTCGTTCCCGTTAGTGACTTCAAATATAGGAGCTGTAAGTATATGAACACAGTGACGATAAAAATAGCTTAAGAACTCAGCTTTTTCCATTTTCTAAACGATTAAGACTAAATTATATCTATGTATGAATTATATATATATATATATATATATATATATATATATATATATATATATATATATATATATATATATATATATATATATATATATATATATATATATATATATATATATTTGTATCTATAATATATATTTTTATATATTTGTACATTCCACAATTAAATTGACAACACTGGGAATTTACAAAAAAAAAGGTTAAACTTTGAATTTTTTTATGTTATTATCTATTTGTTTTTTTTTTTCCTCCTTTTTTTTTTAAAGTATTATTTTTCTATATGTCTACTTTTAGAACTTTTAACAGCATCTTTTCGTACAGTGGCATTGAATATCTTCTGCTTTTTGTTTAAAAAGAAAATTATATTTTTAGAAGCAAATTTAAACCCCCATTCTTTGTGTAAATCACAAGTAAAGCAAACTGTTGGAAAGCATTTTGATAAAACAAAGCTTGATACATCTTTGACATTAGCACCTTGTTTAGTTATTAAATTTGAAAGATTATCTAAGACTGCAAAACATCCACATGTGAATTCCTTAAGTGAAAATGAAGGCACAGTAAGACCACCTCGTGAAAGTATTTGTAGATATGGGCAAATATTTATATTGCTTACATCTATAGCAAGCATAGACTTACAATCACTACATTTGCTTCTTTTTTATTTTTTAATTTTTTATTATTTTCTTTGCTATATAACCAGCAATTGTTGTGTCAACTTCTTCTGTTTCAGGTGATAGATTGCTATATAATTTCAGATTGCTATATAATTTCAGGCGATAGAGATTGCCATATAACCAGCAATTGTTGTGGCAACTTTTTCTGTTTAAGGTGATAGATTCTGATATCTCATTTGAATTTAAATCTAATGTTATAAGTTCATCATTAATTGGATTATCAAAATTGTTTTTTAAATCTGCATCCCAAAAATTCACATTCCCTCTAATTAAAGTCCGACATGCTAAAATAATCTCTGAATATTGAACTTCTAGTAAACTTACTAGAAATCTCCCACCACTAATCTGTCAATATTGAGAAAATCTACGCTCTATAGGGTCACTTTAAAGTCGTGAAGTAAGCACATACAAATATCCTTCTTCTATAAGCTCGTCTATAAGCATAGCTTGAGAACGCAGAGCTGTGATAACAGCAGATGATGTTTGTTTAGATAAGGTAAAAAATAGAGATTTCTGCCAAAGTTCAATCCAATCAGTTAGTTGCCTAAAAAATGTAATTACCACCATCAAAAATAATTGCATTACCAAGTTTATTTGGACTAAATTGTTGCTTTGAATTTGAAACAGTCCACCATTTTTGAAAAATACTTAAAAAACCAGAAATGTGATTTCTTTCAGGAAAATAACTTTTAAAACTTGGAATTGTTGTTTCATCAAAAATCGTCAGTGCAAGAGAAATATTTTTCTTTTTATTACCAGGGTGAAGAGTTTGATATGTAATTTTTTGAGCTTTTTTTAAATTACCTTGAAGTTGTTCATCTTTAGAATGTAGAAGATGAAAATCTCCTCAAGTTATATAACCTGCTGGACAATTATAGACATCATCTTTTATATTATAAGTAAATGATGGAAAGACAAATTTTTTGCAGTGTAATAAATTATTTCTGATATTTTTAACAATATGAACACTATCATAAAATAAGTATATTTTAATATTTGGACTATCAGGATGATAAATAAATAAATTTGACTGATTACCAAATTTCAAATGAAGCAAATTAAATGCATTTACATTTGCTTGATGATTGTCAGTAACAACTCCTCGAATTTTAAAACCAGATAAAGAAAGAGAACTAATAGAATCTGATATTTGCTCTGAAAGCCATTTACCACTAATCGTAACTTTGGGTACTGCTTTTATGACACAAGGAATAGATTTCTTTAAACTAACAATCATAAATGCAACAACTCTTTTGTACAGAGTACCATTGTACACAAAGACATCACTACAATATTGTGTCTGTTTCTGAAAATAAAACTCATCTACAATTAGTATTATATCTTCATGTATTGAACCCTTCTCACGAAGTGTCTTAACAGCTTTTATTGCATCAACTCCACCTTGTTTAACTTTATTTATTAAAGAAATTGAAGGTAATGGAAACGAAGTAAAATTTAATATGCTTGTTTAGATGTATATCTTAATAATAAAGCGTGTCTGATCATATCTGCAGAATATTGTGGTTGACCTTTTGCTTTATAGTATATTCTACTATTTATTTACTCAAGAAGTATATTTCTATTAGAAGAAGCTATGTTTTTCATGTACGATTTCTATTAGAAGCTATGTTTTTTATGTACGATGCAAGATTTTCTAACATACTCAAACTAGTTAACTTCCCATTATGACCTTTAGTTAATCATGGGGGGAGTGGAACATTATTTTCTTTGTATTGCAAAGCTACACATAAACAATGATCAATTTTTATTGATTCAAGAACAGATGGAAAATGCGTTAAAGGATCAAATATTAAATTGTAATAAATAACATAATTGAGATGTTTTTTAAATTGAAAACCTTCTGGTGAATGTTTACTGTTTAACTTGCTCCATTCAGTTATTTTATCATTTTCAGAAAAAAAAAACTAAGTTCATCTTCTTGAAAAATACGAGAATTAGGTGGTCTTCTTAAAACAATAGGTGATGGTAGTGTGGAAGGCCATTTTAAGCATTCACTTGAGAAAATTTTAGGAATAGGGTTTAAATTCCAATTTAACTTGCTTTTTACACCTCGAATAATGTACTTTTCATTAAAATGCTTTTCACATATGACAGAATTTGGTGAAGGCACCCAATCACTACGGTTTACAAAACGAACCCAATAATTTAGCAACTGTTGATTTTTCAACGGAAAATGAAAAGAAGCAACTTTTATATCTTCCAAAGAACTGTTGTATCCAGTTTTACAACCATATGCAACACATTTATTAACCATAATATTCAGCTTTGCTAATATTAATAAATTATCTAAAATAGCATTTTATATATATATAAATATATATATATATATATATATATAAATATATATATATATATATATATATATATATATATATATATATATATATATATATATATATATATATATATATATATATATATATATATATATATATATATATATATATATATAAATCCATATTTTTAATGTTTTTTTAATATTGGATTTTAACATAAACACATATATTTAATGTTTTTTTAATATTGCACTGTCATTATTTTGTTGCGTAAATAGGCCTCGTAGAATCAGCCTCTAAAATGTAACATAGCCGTGTAATATAGTAGGCCATGCCTTAACCCATACGACTTTTTTAGAAAAAGAAGAAAAAAACGAAGAATGATGAATGAAACAATTGCTGCCCCATCCCAAACCCTCAGTCGATGTAGCAGCACTCCACTGCGAGTCAGGCTATTTGTCAGTCGATGTATGTACTGAAGCCCCAGCAACAGGCTATTTCAGTATGACGTCAGATTGCTTACCTTAGTACACAATACTATTTGTATATATATCTATATATATACGCACACACATATATATATTTATATTTGCATATATACACCATGCAAAAAAAATATCCGTACAGTTCAAAAATAATGTTAAATTGATCAAATTCCATAGAAATCAGTATCGAGCGGGGCCTCCTTTAGCCTTGATGGCCTCAACTAGACAATTTGCCATTGAATTAACTAAATACCACAAATTTTCTATTTGATTCAAGTTCAGACTTTGAAATGGCCATTCCAAAACATTGATGTTATCTATGTCAAAGTATACATTCATTTTCTTAGCGATATGTTTAGGATTGTTATCCAGCTGGAGTATGAAATCGCTTCCCATTCTCAATTTTTAAGTTACAAATTGGCTTAGAGAACTTCATAATCCATTGAAGCATCCATTTAGTCATTAATAAATGTAAATTTCCCCACTCCTTTTCAACTCATACTATCCCAAACCATCACATTTCCTCTTCCATGCATTACACTACCTCGCAAACAACTCAATTTAAAAGCTTCTCCTTTTTTCTGTCACACCTTTTAGACTCTATCCGATGGGACAAGATTGTCTTTTGACTCATTTTACTACAAAATATTTTTTATGATATCAGCATTTTTAAGAACTTTGATGCAAATTCCAGTCCACTTTTCATTTGTTTAGAGTTAAAAAAGGTTTATTTCGAACCACTCTATATCTCTATATACTAGTTCTCTTATACAATTTCTGATTGTTTGAGGAGTCATTGTGATGTTATAATCTTCTTGAATTTGTAAAGCTAATTTAGCTGCAAAACAAATCTATTTTTCTTCACATTAATGATGACAATAATGATATTTTGATCAATTGCACTAGTGGTTTTGCATTTTCGTTTGTTAACAGTCAGTTTGTTAACAGCTACGCTAGCAACGGTTCCAATCAGATAATGCTTCTTAACAACTGATAAAAATGAAGTTATGCTTTGACACAAATAACATCAATGTTTTGGAATGGTCATCTCAAAGTCCAGACTTGAATCCAATAGAAAATTGGTGGTATTTTTTGGACAGAAAAATTGGCAAACGAGCATTTAGACGCAAAGACAACTTGAAAGAAGCTATAATGAGGGCATGGGATAATATAGCAGCAGAAGAGACCCAAAATTTGATCAACTCAATTTCAAACCATCTAAATAAGGCCATCAAGGCTAAGACTCGATACTAATTTCCATGGAATTTGATTAATTTGAATATTTTTGAACTGTACGATTATTTATTTTGCAGTCAATTTTATGCATCATTAGATCAATTAAGTAAAATTCGATAGGTTTGAAAAGCAATTAGTTCACCAACAGACAACTCATTTTTTTGATGCAATCTTTAAAATTACCATTTCTTTTCAAGTGTACGATTTTTTTTTTGCACACTATATATATATATATATATATATATATATATATATATATATATATATATATATATATATATATATATATATATATATATATATACATATATATATATATACATATATATATACATATATATATACATATATATATACATATATATATACATATATATATACATATATATATACATATATATATATATATATATATATATATATATATATATATATATATATATATATATATATATATATATATATATATATATATGTATATATATATATATATATATATATGTATATATATATATATATATATATATGTATATATATATATATATATATATATATATATATATATATGCATATATATATACATATATGCATATATATATAAACATATATACATATATGCATATATATATATATATATATATATATATATATATTTGTGTGTATACACACATAAATATTTATAAATACATTTAAATAAATATTGAGATACATACTAAAAAAAAATAGAAAATTAATAATAAAAAAATACATTTGGTCCCAATCCCATATTATCTGTGTCGAGTAGGTTTTTTATTAGATGCATAAGTGTAACATCGATACCTATGAAAAAGATCAAAAAAAAATTGGTGGCATGATAACCTTTAGTTTTATACATAATTTATAAAAAAATATTTATTTTGTATGCTTTAATATCCTAATTTCATATATTCTTTTGAAACATTTAAGAAACAGAAATTTGTCATTTTGTCTAACAAAACAACAGAAGGTTATTTCAAGAGAACAAAAGATTTTTTTTGATCAAACCACTTATTTTATGCTATTTTATGAATGGGTAATTACTGAGTAATATGAAAAAATTAACCTATATAATAATTTGTATATTTTAATATAATAACTAGAATACTTATAATAACCTATATAATAATTAGTATACTTGTAATTAGTATATTTTTAAAATTAGAAAACTTTCTAATAATATAAAATAATATAAAACTCTTCTAATTTTTTATTTAGTTCTCCTAGTAATTTTGAGGCACATATTCAAAAAATAATAGAAAAAATAGTTAGTCTAAAAACTCTATAGTCTTACATTTTTTTACCATATGGTTTTTAGATTTTTACTTGATATATTTTGTTATACATTTGTAATATTTTTTTTTATACTTATAAATATTTTTAAAATTATTACAAAAAGTTGATATCAAGAAAATAAATAAATACCATTTGAAGAAAATGATTTTGAACATAATAAAACAATAAAGACATTCAACAACATTGACTCCTGCAAATAAAAAAAACTTTTTTAAAAAAAGACAATGTTAAAAAAATGTTAACAGGTTCTTTTCAAAAATATTTTCGATAAAGAGAACAATACATTAAAGATTTTATTTATATTAAACCTCATCATCTGTGCTTGCTTCGCTAAGAAGATAATTGCGAATCATAGCAGGGTTGTGGTCACCAATACAATAAATTATATCTATAACAGCACTTTGTATAATTTGATCATCTAAATTCTAAATAAAAAAAATAACATCAAATCATAAAGATAAAAACATTGAACAATCAAAAAAAATTATGAATTAGAATGATATTTACTCTAAGTGAAACATTTACAACCAAAACAAATGAATAACATTTTAAATAAAAACCTTATTAATTTTATACTAAGTGCATTTATAACATCAATTTTATAAAGGTAGTTGTTAATGACTCTAAATCTGTTGGAAAAATAATGAAAAATATATATATATATTAATAATAATGAGAAAAAAATACAAAAAATATCCAGGGTTAATTGTCATTGATTCTCTATTTTAAGATGGGCTTAGTTCAAGAGCTCAAAAAATATTAAGAACTCCATATGAAGAAAAGCTTTAAACTGAAAACTCTTGTATTTTTTATAATGGTTTCCTATAATACTATAATGGTTGAATATTATCTCATTTATAATCTATTTATAACTGATTATACTAATATTTACAAAGAAATAGCCATAAATATTAATTTATCAAACACAAAGTAAAACTAAAATGAACAACTCATACTATTTAAAAGCACTAAGAAAAAGTAATAATTAAAAATACAATCAGGTAATCTTTTTTTTTTTTCAAGTGACACCCTTATTTTTTAGTTGAAGACATTTAATTGGATGTACAAAATTTCATAACCAACCAAGTTTTCTGCAACTTATTTCTGAGTTGATTAACTTTCATGATATATTTCTGCTTTTTTTTCTTTCTATCCTATACCAAATGGTTTTAATGAGGTTACAATCAGGTAATAATGCACACTATAAGATACCATGTTACAACATTCTCATTAAACAAGTGAGAAATTAATTTAGCTGCGTAACCTTTTACAGTGTTGTTGAAATCCAAGACTAAACTGTTGATTTAAATATTCAGTAAAAGAAAGTACACCTGTAGATTTTAGCTGATTAACTAACACATTTTATGTGTGCCATAAATCTACAGGTGTACTTTCTTTTATGGCACACATAAAATGTGTGGCATAAAAGAAAGTACACCTGTAGATTTCAGCTGATTAACTAACACATTCAACAAGCAAATGCAAACTTAACTGATTAAAATTCTGCATCTAAATAACTGGTTTTATGATAATACATTTTTATTTCATATAAGCATTTAAAAAAAAAATTTTTGAAAGTTTTGGTAAAACTATACACCAATTTGCAGACCAATGAATTGACTGTTGATAAATTATCAAAAGCAATATCTGTTGAAGCTTTACTTGCAAATATTGTTAATAATTTTATAAATACATGCATGCATTTAAATAAATTCTGTTTATAAATATCTAACATTAAATAACTTAATGTTAGTAAAATCAGCTACAATCATCGGTTTTAAAACTTAAAATAAAAAATATGAGTATAAAAAAACAAAAATTTAAATAATTAAAAGAACTTCACATTTAATTATTTTAAAACCTAAAATTTACAATAGTAAAGATTAATTTTATTAAGATTTAAAATAAAATATAAAATTTTATTATCAAATAATATGAAACATAAACAAAAATAAAAAAAAAGTAATAAAAACCAATAAAATTACCAGAAGAGGTTTCAGAATAGAAAAAAGCTTACGATCAAGAAGAATCTAAAATGTTAAATTAAAAATGAAATTAACATCAAAATACAGAAACAACAACAAAATGCTTAATACTAACTGTCTAAATACTGAAATAACATATAAGGAATTAAGTGCAAGTTTAAAAAAAACAAATAAAATGCATAAGCACATAAAAACATTTTAAAATTCTTCTGTAATGATAATTATTATATTTATATATGTTACTTAACTCATACACACACAAAAAACATTTAAATGATGTCTTAACTCAAGCAAAAAAAAAAAAAATGTACAAGCAAGTTTAAAATTACACTTAAAAAATGTGCAAGCAAGTTTAAAATTACAATTAAAAAATGTGCAAGCAAGTTTAAAATTACATTTATTAGAATAATTTAATGGAAAGCATTAAACTGATTATACAGTACTGTTTAGAAGAGAATCACTAAAAACCAACAGTTTTCTGAAAAGCAAACTTATACAGCAGCTTAAAATGTTCAAAAGCCTAAAGCAAACTTTGTTGCCAGAGAAACACCTAGCAACTAGTTTTTTAATCACAACATACAACCTTTAAGGTCACAGCCAGTGAATTGAATCCTAACTCATCAACAACAGTTCACATCTTCCCAGAGTTGTCAACATGTGAAACACTGTCATAAAATGTAATCAATGCGCTAAACGAATTTAAAAAATGAACCATACATTTTTCCCACTTTTTGAAAGATTCGAATATTTGTTTAATATTAAAGTGACTAGTGCTCATTTCTTCATTGTAATATCTTTAGAATTTTAATTCTTAGATATAGATTTATAAAATAAACCATATTTTATTTATATATGCCTTCCCAGGAAAGGCGTGCGGTTTTTTGTCTTGTACGACCCCAAAACGTTTTTAATGTTAGAGAACGTGATCACGGCCATTTGCGCAAGTTTTATTATATGCGTTGCTGAAAAATTGTTTTGAATTTAATAACTACATAAGAAATTAAAGTAAATTTAAATAGAAAACAAAAATAATATTTTAAATAATTTGTGTTGTTTTTATTTTTGTTTTTTCTTAGCGGTTATTATTATCGGCAACAAAATTCAGTAAGTCAAAGCAAAAGAGGAAAGAGAAAATATTTATCGTCATCTGTTTGTAAAACATATTTGTATAATTATAATGTAACAAGTTTATATCAAGAGTTAAATTATACGATCGCGATTTGCAAACTCTGGTAAAATATTAGGTCTTTAAAATTTTAGTTGATGCAAAGCTGTGTACTTTGTTCACAAGGAGCAAATTATTAAAAGTTTGCTAGCGAGAAAGTTACAAAAAACAAAACAAAAACAATAAACTTACGACTACAAAAGTAATAACACTTTAGTCACTAACTGCATTATTAAAGTAATAAAACTATAATAGTATTATTACATTTATAAAGCACTTATTACTTTTAAAGTTCATTCTTTGTTCAAACAACATTATTAATTCCAAACATTTATTAAAGTAGAAAAGCATCTAAAAAAAATAAAGCGGAAATTCAAATATTAATTTTCACAGATCACTTAAACAAGGTTATAAAAAAGTACTTTATAAAAAGTATAGTATTATGAAAAACGTTACGAAAAAACGCACGTTAATTTTAAAATCAATCAATAAAATTTTTTTATTGGTTAATTTTAAAATTAACGCGCGTTTTTACTGTCCATTAGTAACGTTTTTCATAATGCTTAACTTTTAATATGATACGTTTTTATAAAGTTGTTTGTCACGTTTTTATAAGTTATTTACGTTTTAATATTATTTGAACATCCATTTTATTCTTCTAGATATTTTTCTACTTCAATTAAAATTTGGGAATACTTATGTTGTTTGAACAAAGAATGAATTTTAAAAGTTATAAGTGCGTTATAAAAGTAATAACACTATTATGGTGTTATTACTTTTGCAATGCAGTTAGTGACTGAAGTGTTATTACTTTTGTAATCATAAGTTTATTGATTAATTTTTTTTTTTTTCGCAAATTTAATTTTATTTTTGACAAATTTTTTTTTTTTTTTTTAATTTATTAATTTTTTTTTAATTTAACAAAATTTATTTTTAACAAATTTTATTTTTAACAAATTTAAGTTGATTCTCCCCTTAAAAACAAGGAACACGGTTTTGTATAAACTAAAATTTTGAATACTATACATTTTTCCAGATTTTGTGTTTCGCATTCGCTTAATTCACCCTTGTTATTACATTATTGTTGTTGTTTCAATAAAATTATACAAATAAATTTTACAAACACATTGCAATTTGTATTTTTGCTATCCTCTTAAAAAAAAGTTTAGAAAAAGAAAATAATTCTTTTTATTTGTAGACTTCAAACTGTTTTTTTTTTTGCTTCGCCTTATCTTATTTTGTTGCTGAATGTAACAACCACTCTAAAGAAACAAAAATAAAAACAGTACACAAATTTTTTAAATAATTAATTTGTTTTTATTTTTTTCTATTTCAATCTATTATTAATCTATTAATAATCTATTAATAATCTATTATTATAACCTAATATATTATTTTTATTATAATAATCTATTATTATAATAAAATATCTATTAATAATCTATTATTATAACCTCATCTATTAGGCTGGCGCAGATGTATTTTTTAATACATTGTTTCCAGTTTAGGATGTTGAACGCTGGATCTTCTTGACTCAATGCGTGGGTATTGCTTGTGTCTCTATTTTTACGACAGGGCAACTCATTCTATTATCTCCTAATGAGGGTACAGCTCTAAAACTCAGTTTTATGGTTCTGAGGCCGGCTGGTAGTCAGGTTTCCCGAACTCTGTGGTAGCTCTCAGAGAGGCTGATTCCATCAACAGCCGAAAAATATCAGAGTACTAACAGTGCCATGTTGCGCATGGATGGTGTCCCTGTTTGTACTTTTGGTGTGCATTGCAGAGGCCACATTTGGAGCCCTTTGTTACGACTTAGGGTTTATTAATAGTAATAAGGCTATTGCTATAAATTCAAAATGACTAAAGTACCTAAAACTAAAAAACACAAAAAACCATCGTCATCACCAAGTTCTCTAAACCTATCATTTACTAATATTCGTGGTCTTCAAAGTAACTTTTCTTCTGTTGAGTCTTATCTCTTGCAAAGTTCACCAGACCTACTTGCTCTTTGTGAGACTAATTTGAGTTCGGCTGTCCCATCTTGTGATCTTAGTGTTGATGGTTATCTTCCTTTAATTCGTAAAGACTCCAATAATTACATGCTTGGCCTGGGCATCTACATTCGTAAGAACTCACCCATTTGTCGTGAAACTAGGTTTGAATCTACAGACTATTCATTTATGTGCTTTCGTTTAGCACAACTTCACTCTATCGCCTTTCTCTTTGTTCTATATCGCTCTCCTTCATCCCAAGATTGCACTATTCTTGATGCTATTTCTGATCAAATTGACCAAGCCCTCTCTCTTTATCCACCGACCAATATCGTCGTTGTTGGTGACTTTAATGCCCATCACACCGATTGGCTTGGCTCTAGTGTCAGTGACTCTGCTGGCGTTAAGGCCCTCATTTTTTGCCTTTCTCAATCTCTAACTCAAATAGTCAACTTTTCAACTCGTTTTCCAGACAACCCTAATCATTTACCTTCTCTACTCGACTTATGTCTTGTTTTGGATCCTAGTCAGTGCTCAATTTCTCCACATTCACCCTTAGGTACTTCTGATCACGGTTTGATCTCTCTAAAACTATTACCAAACTCTTCTACTTCATCAGAATCCCCCTATCATCGTACCACATACAACTACCTTAAAGCTGACTGGGACTCTTTCCGTGATTTTCTTCGTGATGGCCCTTGGGTAGAAATCTTTCATCTTCCTGCTGACAAATGTGCTTCTTACATAACTTCGTGGATTCAGGCTGGCATGGAATCTTTTATTCCCTCTCGACGATTCCAGGTCAAGCCTCACTCTTCTCCTTGGTTTTCCTCACATTGCGCTGCAGCAATTTCTAATCGAAACCGTTACTTCCATATCTATCAGCAAAACAATTCTCCAGAAAACAGACATCTGTTCACTATTGCCAGAAACCATTGTAAAAAGGTTTTGTCTGACGCCAAAGCTCGCTATTCTCAGGTCATTAAATCTCGTATCTCATCACAAAAATTAGGCTCTCGAGACTTCTGGAGAATCTTTAACAGTATCAATAATAAGGGCAAATCTGTTATTCCTTCTCTCTTGTATGGTTCAGACTTTGTCACCTCACCTAAAGACAAAGCTGAATTGTTTGCTAAGAACTTTTCATCAACATCATCTCTCGATTCCACTAGTTGCGTTTTACCTGACATAGCTGTCAAACAGGTTGATCCCTTGCTTGACATTCGCATCACTTCAGCTTCTGTATCAAAAGAAATTTCCTGCTTAGACTCTTCAACATGCTCTTTCTCTTTTAGACAAGGTGCAAAAACGAATTGTAAACATAGTTGGACCTGCTCTGGCAGCCAATCTCCAACCTTTGTCACATCGTCGTAATGTTGCTTCTCTTTCTCTTTTCTACAAATACTATAATGGGCACTGCTCTAAAGAGCTAGCGTCCCTTGTGCCATCTACTAAAATTCATTCTCGTGTTACTCGCCATTCAATTAAGTCTCATCCTTTTTCTGTGACTGTTCCTAAGTGCTTCAAAAACTCTTATTCTTCTAGTTTTTTTCCTCGAACATCAGTTCTTTGGAATTCGCTTCCTTCATCTTGCTTTCCTGATTCATATAATTTGCAATCTTTTAAGTCATCAGTCAATCGTCATCTTGCTCTACAGATTTAGTCTTTTCTCTTCCAGTAACTTCCAACTCTTATAGTGGTTGCTTGCAGCCTTGTTGGAAGTGAAGATGTTAAAAAAAAAAAAAAAAAAAAAAAAAAAATCTCTTTTTATTTTGTTAGTTTTGTTTTTTTTGTTTTTGAAACTTTTTCAGCATTAATTATTATAAAACTTGCAAAAGGCCGTGTTCAAGTTGTCTAAAATAATATACTCGCGTGTTGTCATACTAGACGAAAAACCGCACGCCTTTCCTGGAAAGGCTTGTGTATGGTAAAACTTATATAAGTTTAACTATATATATTTATAAAAAATCATAATTTACCCCCGGGAATTATTGTATTTCCCCCTGCAATAACTGTATGGAAAATATCAATATTTAATATTTTTCTTAAATTATTTTGCTGAAAGCGATTATTTTTTACATTTATTAATCAATCATATTCATATCAATATTTGTCACAGTAATCAAGTTGCAATGGTTGTAGAAACAACACATCAAAATAGTTATACCATTACTTTATAGCGACTGCTATTACATTCACAGTGTTAATATTACAACTAAAAGCAAAACAAAAATTAAACAAAATATAAAATTTACTTGTAAAAAACTATCACGATTTTCCAGCTGCATTGATTGTGATAGATTACAGAGTTCTTTTAACAAAAGTACCTAGCATCAAAAAAAATATATATTATGTATTATGGAACAGCTATAAATAGAATTGGCAAAGTTACACTTCTTGAAGCTGCACACACTTTGCAAATAAGTTAAAATTGCTTTAAATAAAAAAAACAGTTGCTTAAATATTAAAAGTATCTAAGTATTTACAAGTAGTTTTATGTACTAATAAAAATAAATTTTTGTGGTTCAATAAAACAATATTAAAACCACAACATTAGACGAATTTGAAAATATTGCTCTTCAGTTTGATCACTGCATCATATTGAATTAATAAAGTAAATGCTGTTAAAAAACAATGCAGTTAAAAAATGACATTTTACACAAAAAAAAAAAAAAAAAGGCATACATTAACAAATTTTTGTATTTTAAAAGATTCAAAATATTTGATTAAACTCCTTGAAACTCAATACAAAAATCTAAACAATTTTTGTTTGTATTGATAAATTTAACTTTTTTTTGATAAACAACTACAGCTAATTCACGATAACTCAAATCTCCAAGGGACCAAAGAAAATGGTTTAACTTAACAAATGTTCCACTAAAGGGAATTCCAGTTAAGTCAAACTTTGTCTGATATGAGATATTAGTTCAAGTTAAGGCAATTTTTCTTTATTCAATGCTAAAATATAAACATTAAATATACACCATTGTACTAACAAAAAAGTGAAAATGTTTCAGTGAAAGAAGTTAATACTGTATTCATGCTGTACACTCAAAAAATAATTATGTTTTTTTTATAACTTTTTTCCAGGGTTACAACATTGAAAAAAGTTGCATCTGCATCACAATGACTTCCTTATTATTTGCTAATAAAATTGCATCAAAAAGCTAGCCATCTTTTATTAAGAAATTTATCAAAACTATAGAATAATTGCTTTTTTAACGTTATTTTATGATTTATTTTAAAACAGTTTTAATATAGCATTATTTTACATCTGATAACGATCTATTCTATTCACATTTAAATACAACAAAAAACTAACAAAAATATTAGGCTACTGTTATTCAAGTTTTATATGGAATGACTTTTGACAAAATTTCATTGTAACAAAATTATTTTCAAAAAAATTTCATTCAAACAAAAATTTTATTCTAACAAAATTAACCAAATTATTTTGAATAAAATTGATGTTCACAAGTATTGTTTTTTCTGCAGAGTTGTTAAAATTATGTACAAAAAAAAAAAAAAAAAAAAAAAAAAAAAAAAAAAAAAAAAAAAAAAAAAGTCATTTTAAAAATTTAGGAATATTGATCAGGAAATATGTTAAAAAATAAAAGTAAACTTACAAGTATAACAACATATAATACCTTTGCAATACATACCTTTGCAATACATACCAGTATAGATTTCAACAACATTTGATGGATGATTTACTCATAACTTGGGATGGCAATCCCGGGATCCCGAAATTTCGTACAAATTATTCATCCCGAAATCCAGGGATTAGTCTCTGAAATTTCCCGGGATTTCGGGATTGTCAAAAAAAAAAAAAATGGAAAAGTTAATAAAGTTTAAGCTTATAATTGTAGTTTAGTAATTTTTATATAGTCTTTGGTAAATAAAATTAATGTATAACTTTTATTAAAAACTCTTTTATTAAAAACTAAAAAATATTAAAACTAGTATATTATAAAAATAAATAAAATTTAAGCGCTTGCTGGTAAAAAGAGCAAGAGTTTTTAATAGAAGATATACATTTTATTTTGAATTTTCTACTTCCATAAGTATGCACAATTTTAATTCCATTTTTATGAAATTTTAATTTTCAAATGTGTGATTTATGAAAGTTTTTTTTAACATCATGCATATTTATATTATTTTTTAATTTTTATTTATACTGTGTTACCATTTAAAGGTATTGTTTTATAATTTATAATACTTAGGTTTATTAATTTTTAAAAGTCTTAGATAAGTTTTAATACAAAATTAAGTTAAAACATGATTTAACTTAATTTTAGAGGTTTATTAATGTATTAAATATTTTAGTTATATTATCATTAAATTAATCATTTTTAAGTGCTTAAAAAGTATTTAATTGCGTTTGTGCATTTTTTTATTCAATCCCAGGATTTCCCGGGGACTATTTCTCAATCCCGAAATCTCGAGACTGAAAATTTTCGGTATTTTTGCCATCCCAACTCATAACATAACTTAGCTAATGGCTAAATAACAATTGAAATTTGGTCAAACAGCAGTTATATGTAATCAGTAATGGTCTAAGGCAATAAGGCAATAAAGATAAGTAAGGCAATAAAGATAAATTAGAAAACATATATTATGGTTAATATTTCACCTAGAGAGTTGCAAATAAAAAGTTTAAAAAAAAAAGATTAGTCTCCTGAACTAAAGTAATTATCAACCCCTCCCCTTCTGAAAAGGTGAATTTATGAAAATTAAAGAAAATAATCCACAGGTACACTGTAACATCACCAGCGAGAATCAGTTTGAAACTGCTGCTTACAATAATGTGGACTCTAATGAAGATAAGAACAAAACAATAGAGAAATACCTCCTAAAGTCCTGATTATAGTTTAGATATGATGAAACTAAGTACATTAACCTTGTGCTGATGATGTGACAAGTTTTTTTTCATGAACCAAGTAACGGTTGTTTTCCACAAGCTGAAATATTTGTGCAAAGCGAATTTTTTTGTCGATAAGCATTTCTGGCCATTATGCTGATACAGCATTTCGCTACAGCAAAAAAAAAAAAAAAAAAGTAGGATTCATTTTGACTTTTTGCCAATTTCCATAAGCGAAAACCAATCAAGTTTTGAATATTATATCACATGATGTCAACAGTAAAAAATGCAGAAGCACATTGCTTTTAAAGTAGCAAAAAAAAGAAATTCTTAACCTGGTGTTCTAATTGATTTTATATGAACTTACTCTAAAAATTGGCAAGTATTAGTAAATTCATCAAAAAAGGAGCAAGACTTAAATCAAAATTTACAAATAAAAATTTGCACTGTCAATTAAAAAAGTTACACTTCATAAGAAAGTTTATCTTCAAAGTGGTCATACGAAGATAAACCATTTTGTGCCCACATGAAACCTTTTAAACCTGCTGTTCGTTCTTGCAGTAACAGTTTTTTTTTTTACAGAAATATTCATATCAGAGTTTAGCATTTATTTTCTTATACTTTCTTATAAAAAACTTTATATCTTTATAAAACTTTATATCTTTATAAAGCTTTATATCTTTATAAAACTTTATATTATTATATTACAAAATAATATAACATCTTACATACAAAGACAGAAATGTTAAAATTAATTCATGGAAAGAAATTTCCACATGTTTTAAAGTAGAAAGTATGCAAAAAAAAAGTAATAATTGCTTAAAGTTAAACTCATTGCTGCCATTTTTATTGTTGATAACGAAAAAAAAAGTAGAGCAGAAGAAAATAAGTAGAAATCAAAAAGACGTTTCGTCATGGGGAAAAAATTCGCTTTGCACAAATATTTCGTCTTGTGGAAAATGGCCTTAAGAGATGTTCAGCAAATGAAAATGTGATTTTTCAGGTAAAGCAACTGCCTTTATTGTTAATGCTACATTTAGTAATTTGCTACTTTTGTACTATTAAAGCAGACGGATGCAGTTACACACCTTGTTTGACCATGCATATAATTTTTTGTTTTGATACTTGGGCACAGCTCTTTGCATGTCACAAGCTTTAAAAGTGTGCTGAAAAAATTAAACTAAACCAAAGAAAAAATAAAAAAAATAAAAAAAGATCAACTGAAAAAAGAAAATAAATTTTAATGAATGAGGAAAAAAAAAGATTAACTTGAAAAAAAGTGTGCTATAAAAATAAAATATGTATTTTTTAACTTTAAAGCATTTCGATAAAATTTAAAGAAGATAAAAGTTATTTAAACTTCAAAAAAACTTCTAAACTTCGATAATTTTCTTGTGTCTATTTAACTTTTATTTTCTATTTAATTTCTCATTCGTTAAGATTTTTCAAGTTTTTAATTTATTAAGATTTGTTATGATTTTTTAAGTTTACAGTGTTTTTTTAAAACTTACTCTTTAGTTTGGTTTGCAACAACAATCACTACAATATGACAGGTGATTATGATATGAAAGGTGTAATTGTTACAATAGGACAGGTGGTTCAGATAGCCAAAAAGATGCAACCTTAATGAAAAAAAAAGTAGGCAGGAAAGATATATCAAGAAAACTGACAAAGATGTCAGTTGTTTCATTCCTTAATAGTCAGTCCTGGGTATATCAAACTAATGGCAAAGCTAAAATTGTTTCTACACTCTAACCCAGTTACTTGGTGAAAAAAATCATCAAAAAACTAAAGCTCAGATACTAATAAATATGTTCTAACAAAAACAGATTTGTTCACCTAATGGATTGCTGCAGAGCATTGTCTAAAAAAAATTGTTGTTGCTGTAGCTGCTGTTTTGGTTAACACCTTTCATATTTTTAGTCCACCAAAAAAAGTAATTACTGTTCAAAAGAAGGGAATTTGCAAAACAGATTAACACTAAAAAAAATCTTCAAAACTTTATTCTTCTTAGTGCTATGTAAATTTGTTTTAAACTTATTTCCTTTTTTTTATATGTTGCCTAACAATAAAATGTTTTAATAGACATTTTTGTGACATCATCTACAAAAAAAAAAAGTCAGCATAAACACACAAGTAGAAATTTCAAGGGTACTTTGAGCAAGTATACTAAAAGCCAAATGAATGACTGGGACAGGATAATCTAATTGTTTTGTAATATTTTTTTTATAATTTTTCTTCATTTTTTCTAAAATATACATTATTATTTGTTAATATAATTTTTTAACAATTTGTATTAGTTACACATATGTAATTAATTATGAGCTGACATTGTCACGTCTGAAATCAAATATGACTCTGTTTTATGCATTTTTTGTTTTTGTTTTGTTTTATTCTATAAAAAAACGGTGAAATTCATAAGACATAAATGCTTTTCACCAAAAATCTTTTTACCCATGTCAAAACAAAAATACTAATAATGAACACCAAGATGCATTTAAATTTAAACTGATTTAAATTTGTCTATAAGTAGATACCCAAAAACATGTACAGCCCTAAAATCTAGACATGGTTAAACCACTTTAAGATCAATTGTACAGAAAACAAAAAAATTGTTTATGCAAAAGAAAATATTGTTTCCATTAACTACAATCAATTTGCAATGCAACAGCATATGCACAATTGTTTAAAGTTAAACATTTTACATTATTTCCAAGGTCATATTTAGACAAGACAGTTTGTAAATGTAAAAATAATTCTGCAATATTTTATGTTTACCTCATTACTTGTGAATCAATAATAAAAGCCTTTTTAGACAAAATTAGTGGACCAAAGAGTCTGCTGTATATTATAATTTTTTTAACTTAGAATTTTAAGTTTAGTTCTGGTTTTACCTAAGTTACCTAAAAATATTTTATTCTCATTTCATAAGCTTCTACTAATTGACAATTGATTTTATATTGCAAAAAAACAATTTTATTGTTTATGCTTTAGTTTTAAAACAGTTTTAAAAATATTTAATTTTAAATTTAAGACTTTTTTGAAACAATTGTGTTTATTTGTAACCTTTGCCAGATTTTTTTATTTTATTTTTCATGATTTCAAAAATTTGTTGCTTTGTTTATCAATTCTTTGTTTAAAATTTAAAAAATAAAATCAATTTTATGTTATATTTTAGCTGGTTGAATTAAACAAAAAAAGTCTTGCTCTTGCAAAATTGTAAGAAAAAGACTTATCTTAATAATATTTTGTTTAACATGTTTCTAATGTCATGTCCAGAATCAAGATGAAAGTGTTTCATCATACTTACTCCCAAAAATGTTGAAGCACTGATGACTTAAAACAATCTAAATTGAACAACTCAAGCTAATATTTTGAAATCCTGAATCTTTAGATTTTAAATTTTGGCATTGTTTTGTAGAATAGAGATCTATAAAGTTGGAGTTATCTAGTTTTACTTATGAAGCGATACTTTTTTAAAAATTTTTTGTAACAAAAAATTTAAAAGAAAATATCATATATAAAATATAATGAGTTAAGGACTACATAAGTCTGGTAGGTCTGATAAATCTAATAACAAGTTGAAGACTACATAAGGTCTAATAAATCTTTTTATGCATAATTCTATTTTCTTAGGAATTAATACTTGCACCACAAACTAAATTTATGAAAAAAAAAATAAGTGTATAGTTCTGGAATCAAAGCAAAAAAATTGCTATTCTAGAACATCACAAATGCCATACACTAATTTGTGGAAAGATAATATACTGACTTTTTCACTCATTGGTTCAGACTAAGAAGAAAATGAAGAATATTCACCAATGCCTAATAAATTAGGCAATACTTGCACTCTGCTGTTCATATAGCTAAATAATGTCACCTTTTGATGGGTTATATTAACAATAGAGACACAAAGAATAAATAATAGTCCCTGTTTAAGCAGAATTATCTTAGTATGAAAAGATTTGTTATGCACAAAATTATTAGACTATGACAATATAGGAAGACTTGTGTACCTAGGTCTGCATTTTTTTAGTTTTTAACTCAATGCCTAGAACTATTGACAAGGGTAACAAACAATTCACCTAAATATTCTATTATTTTATTTAAAATTATATATTTGTCCTAAAACAATCTATAATAACAATATTAATAAAATAATAATACTAACATCAAAAGTGACTTTAGTTAATTAGTAACGTTTTGTGTGCTATGTTTTACTTAAGACATTATATTGTTTTTATGATCTTTGCTACCACATACTTACAAAATCTAACTAAAAAAGCACAAAACATGAATCATATAGAAACATTTTTCAAAAACAGAATTAGAAACTTACCACTTCTCTTCTTTTTTCATCAAATGACTCGTCATCTTTTAGTTTAGCAAAAAGTTCATCAAGAAAATGAGGGTCTTCCTGTATCATATATTTATATATATGTATATGTTATATATATGTATAAATAACTATTTAGTAACTAAATATTTAATAATTTATATATTTAACATTTTTAAACTTATAATTAAAAATATATCCAGTTAATTTATTAAACTAAAGAATAACAAAAATTGAAACCTGAATAATATTAACAATGTCAATTTTGTTGAAAAACAAATAGGAATTCATGGTAGACATGTTTTCATCGAATAAAGATGGTGCAGGCACCAAAATATCTTTTATATACTGAACACGAAATGTTGTATGAATTTTTGTCAAAAGCTCTTTATTAGTAATAGGAATAACTTCATTAAATTTAACTGTTTTTTTAAGAAATTCTCTATGTTGAATTGGTTGCTTCCTACTAGGATCATATTCTAACACCCCAACAATGTCCATAATTATATCTGGTTGAAACATAACTTCAAACAATGCATTTTTTTCCAGCATAAATAATGATTTGAATATTTGAAATAATGTATGCAAACCTTCTGTGTTTTCCAAATCTTCACACATATGAAATAAGTCAATAAGTTTTTTAATATATGAGTCATTTTCAATAGCTATCGCTAATTTATCTCTACCTATAGGTGAGGGGAGAACACTTTGAAAAAGTTCTGAGATAACTTCTAATTTACTAAGTTCACATGAAGGAAGCTCAATAGCAGAAAAATCTTGAACTTCTTCAAAGGTTTCATCATTATTTGATACATGTAAACCATCTTCATCATCCTGAGGCATGTCTGAATCTGTCATGTTACCAACATCTTGTGTTATATCAACTGATGGATCAAAACCTTGTACCTAAATAACCAAAGAAAAAGAAAACTGCTATTAAATCTTAAATACCTTATTAACTCAATTGATTTAAAATCATTTAGCTAGAGGCAAACTAAAAAAATCATTATCATAAAAGTGTCCAACACAACTTTCATCATAACAGTAAAACAATTCACAAAATATTGCATAATAAATATAAGGTCTTGTTATGAGTTTTCATTATGCAACATGACATTATGTCTTAAAACTTTATTTTTGTATTTTTAATAACCTTAATAACAAACATCACAAGGCTCAAATTAAGTGGTCATGAATTGGGATATCTCTGGTCATCAAATTCCTAGTTTATTAAAAACCGTGAAAATATTTTAATGAAACAGTTAATTTATCATATTTACATATGATAAAATATCATATGTAAATATGATAAGATATCATAAAACTAATGAAAAACAAAACAATAAACTTACTATTGCAAAAATAATAATAGTCAAAACTTACATATTTTAAATTATTGTTTGTTTAAACAAATTACCTGGTGTTTAAACAACAAGTAATTTTAGCATTAAATTACTTGGTAACTAATAAAATATTAAATGATCAGAATGTTTAAAAAAAAAATCTTTTTTTTTTCAACATTTTGTTGAAAATAAGTACTTTATTTGTTGAAAAATGCAAATAAACATTAAATGTAAATAAATAATACCTTACAGAAATAAAAACGTAAACTAAAATTTTGAAACTTTTATCATAATGGAAAGTTTGTAAGACATAAATGTTTTGCTATAGCGCTGCCTAATGAAAATTCATAACAAGGCTTTATATATATATATATATATATATATATATATATATATATATATATATATATATATATACACACACACACACACACACACACACACACACACACACACACACACACACACACACACACACACACACACACAACAAAATACAATAAGCAAGCATATATAAATTACAACATTAAGATCAGCGCAAACAAAAGCAGTTATATTGGTTAATGCATAGAAAAATGCCTAATTTAGAAAATGGCACCATTCCTAATGAGCCTTTGGCCAGCACTTAGTACATTTGTAGTAAACAGGTAAACAGAGATGATTGCATTATCACCAACTGCATGTTACTATTTTTTAATACCAGAATAATGTTATTAGTTACCTGACATATCTTTTCCCAAATATCCCCACACCCTTCTTTTTCTTGAAAACTTAATGCAAAGTCATTATTTGCTTCTGACCATACAACAAGAGTTTCCTATAAAATAATGCAAAGTTGTTACAACATCAATAAATGAAAATTATGCAATAAAAAAAAGTGACAGATAAAGTGGGCTTTTAGTTATAGATCTAGATTATGGGTTTAACTTTGACTAATTTAACTATTACACATGACACATCATGACAAAAATTACACATTTTTTTTTACACTTTAATAACTTAATGATTTAAAAACTTAAAACACATGTATATTCATTTCACAGTTTTTAGACCAAATCACTTTTATTTAAGCATGAGGGGCCACAAGATTAAAAAATTATTTGCAATTCAACAGATGCAAGAAATACATTTAGCATTCAGATCTTAGATAGGAAAATACTATTATACAAAAATAATGCATTAACGGAAAACAATAACAGCAAAAACAAAAAAAAGGTTAAAAACAAATTCAAAAATATATCAACTTGGAAAAAAAATAACTTAAAAAATATTTCATAAAAAAATTATTCAGAGCATAAAATTTGGTAGAGCTTAAAACTTAGGTTTTATGTAATAGATATGGTTATTTATAACAGCTTTATATAAAACACAATTTTTTTTTTTAATTTTTATTGTTCTTTTTTTATTGCCAGTTTTTATTTACTACACCAGATTTGAGTTTGCATTTCAATGTACATTTTGAGTTTAGTGTATTTTTAAGTGTGGACTTTTATTAGGCAAAATTTTTATTTATTTCAAAAGTTGACGTTTGCTTAAAAATTTGAAAACAAACGCAGAATTTTAATATTTAATTTAAATAAAACGTTAACTTTGCCAATTTAATTTTAATTAATTTATTTAGAATTAATAAACATTTGTTTTGCTGTTTTCATTTTAATTGATTCGTTTACAATTAAAAGGACTAAAAGGTTCATATTTGAGAAACTGAATAAAACGTTTCTTTTACCATTTTTTAATTTAATTTATTAAAAAAATAAAATGTGAATAAAGGGTTGGTTTTTCCATACTTTTTTTTTTAATTTAATTTATTCAGAATTTAATTAAAAGGTTCGTTATTTCATTTTTATTTAGAATATCATTAAAACAATCAATTAAAATTTCATTAAGATGTTTGTTTTTTAATTATTATTTTAATTTATGTATTAAAAATTTAAATAAAACATTTGTACTGCTGTTGTATTTTTTTACTTTTACAACTAATTTGTTTAGAATTTAAATAAAACATTATTTTTATTTTGACTATTTTATTTAGAACTTAAATAAAAATTTGTTTTGCTGGTTTCACTTTAATTATTTATATAAAATTTAAAGAAAGCGTTTATATTGCCCTTTTTAATTTATTTGAAATAGCAAATAAAAATAAGTTTTAAATTTCTGAGAGTAGGGTCAGCAATATGCAAGCAATTATTGCGATAAAAATAATAATTATATTTACTTAAAAATAAATTTATTTTCAGAGATTTGCAGATACAATCATATATTTTGAAAACATGGTAGCAATCTCAAATGAGACATGCGGTTGCACACATTATAAGATCACAAATGTAATATTTTTTAATAACTTGGCCACAGCTCTTTAAGTTTAAAAAAATACATGAATAAACTAATGTAAATCTAAATTAAAATTAAAAGTAAACAAATCATAAACTGAAAAGAGAAATAAAAACTAAAAAAAAAAGCAAAACTAAACTAAACTCAAAAAACAACAATCATAATTTTAATGATAAAATAACTAAAAATAAGCCAGAAAAAATAAAAGCATAAAACTAATGTCTTTATTTTAATTCAAAAGTGTTTCACTTCATAGAATTTAGAAAAGATTGTTTTTAAGTTATTTAATCCAAGCTTAATTACTTAGAAAATTAATTATTTAAAAATTTGAAAGTTTGATATTTTCTACTAATGATTACTAAGCAAATAAAATATAAATAAAATTACTCCTTTAAAAGGATATGAACAGTGCCTAATAAATATAACAATAAATAAACTATTTTTTGAGACGTTTCTAAATTTAAAAAATTTATTATTTCTATGCTTTAATTTTTTTGTTTGTTTATCTTTTATTTATTTTATCATTTGTTAAGTTTGTTTCTCTTTTCAGTTTATGGTTTATTTTTAATTTTCTCTTTAAATTAGTTTGTCTTTTTCAGTGCATTTTTTTAATGCACAATATATATATATATATATATATATATATATATATATATATATATATATATATATATATATATATATATATATATATATATATATATATATATTGTTATATTGTATAATTTATATATAACATTTATATATATAAAATATACTTAATATACTTGTATATCAAATATTTATATATAAAATAGAGTGCTCAATGTCCTTAAAAGGACAGAGCAATAATAAATTAATAGAAAATAATTTATCAATTTTTTAAATTCCTATAATTCTTTTCACATTTTTTGTGCAACTGTAGCTAATTTAAATTATATTTTCATTTAAAATTTAATGCAATTTGTTAGAGTGTGAAGTATTTATTCACCAACTTAAACTATTTCATTCACTATTTCAGGGGTGTACCCTCATGGCTGTCAGTGGCACGGGACAACTCATTTTCTTGAAGGGCAACTGAAATTTAAAAAAAAAGCCCAGTAGCCGTAGCCCAGTAGCTCAGTAGCCCGGCAGGACAACCAGACAGTTTGTTACTTACAAATGTGTTACATTACAATTTACAAAGTTTGTTACTTACAAATATGTTACATTACAATATTACAAAGAGTGTTATTAATAAAACCATATTTTAAATTATAAAGATTTGTAAGCTTTTCCAGGCCTACATGGGAGCAGTTTAATAAATTATTACTTCACAGACTTAACCACATAATTAATCATATAAGACAGCTTATTACTTAGTGTTTATTAATAAAACCATATTTTAAATATAAAGCTTTTATTTCTTGTGATTATTAAAAAGAAACCTTAAATAAGCATTTAAAGTAGTATACACTTCATTTATTAATGAGTACACTATGGTGTGTTATATAATTTTACTAAATGTAAAAAAAAAAAGCCAACACGCAATTTAATATTTTAAAGTGCGACTACTGTTTTTTTAAACGTTGTTGTTGCAACTTAAAATAAGCTTTAAATTAAATTTTTTTAAATTTCTATATCTATCTTTTATATTATAAATATCTTTTATTTTTCATTGGTGAAATTTTTATTTTAACTTTTAAGTCAAAAAAAAATTATCTTAACTTTTAAGTCAAAAAAAATTTACCAAAATTAGTAATAAAAAACATTATTTTGGATGCACTTTTTTATCTTAAAAAAAGAAGCCTTAATATAATGAATTACAATAAAAACATTATCAAACATTCAACTTATTTTGCTCAGCATAATGAAATCTTTGTTGAGATAGACACAAAACAGATATCGACCACGACAACAATGACAACCTTTAAAAGTTTTATTTAAAGTTATCTCTTTACCAATATCTCTTTGCAAATAAAGTTACTTAACAATATTTTTAACAACTTATAACATTTCACTTTTTATTATTAATTAATTTACTTTTAATTGAGTTTGTTATTAGTAAGCGACTGGGATTGATATTTGACCAGGGCCGGGTTTAATAAAACATAGCCGAGGCCAGGTTTGTGACCAGGGCTGCATTAATATTGATATTTCTTATAAATATATTATTGTTATTTAAAATTCATGATATATTTTATATAAAGGTATATATATCATCTCATCGTCATCGTCATCATCATTATCATCATCATCATCATCATCATCATCATCATCATCATTATCATCATCTACATCATCATCATCATCATCATCATCATCATCATCATCATCATCATCATCATCATCATCATCATCATCATCATCATCATCATCATCATCATCATCATCATCATCATCATTATCATCAAGCATACAGTTGTTGATGATGATTAAGATGATTCTGATGATGATGATGACAATGATCATCATCATCATCATCATCTTAATCATTGGCATCATTATCATCTTCTCTGATACACACTATAAATATAATTACTACTCTTATACTATCTCTAAGATCATTGCTTTTTTTCCTATCTTTTAAAGACACCATATATCCATCTGATCTACTTTGTTCTTTTCGGATGAAAGAACAAACAAGCCAGCAACCTGGATATTCTAGTAAAGTCAGTGGCCATCATGTAATAAATTGATTATTTGAAATTTTTAAACAAGGTTAATAATTTGAAGAAATATTTAAAAATTGCTAACAATCAGGGTGTTTAAAATATCCTAAAATAAATTTCATAAGATAAATTTATTGTAAAATTGCATTTACATTTAAAATGTAAGTAACTTTTTAATTGCAATTTTAATCATTAGAATTACATAGTTGAGCTATTCAAGTATTTAAATATAAAGAAATTGATAAATACTAGAAAATAGTTGAATTTATTTTTGTTAGCCCTGGCTAGTAACCCCTGCAAATTGTGTTTGTTTAGCCGGGGCCGGGTTTGCAAAAACCTCTGTATTTAGCCGGGGCCGGGGAACCAGTCACTTACTATCAGTTGCCCGCATGGCAACTGAGAAAAAACCAGAGCGTACATCCATGTATTTTTACATGACATTAAAAAAAAAATTAAAAAAAAAAACAATAACATTTTTTGTGTTATTGATTAGTATTTGACCCTATAATCGAAATAAAATAAATTTTGTTCAAAAATAGGCCCTTGCGCAAGTATTTAATAAATAGTAAATGTATGCATAAATTTATAATACATAAAGTATTGAAAATTTTTCCCTAGTCCTGGCTATCTACCCCTGCCAAATTTTATAACTTTGCCAGGGCTAGGTTTGCAAAAAGTTCCATTTTTAGTTGAGGCTGGGGCCTTGGTCACTTACTACTTGTGACGCTATAAAAATTGTTGTTGCATAACAACAATACCCATTAATGAAAGGGATGCTACATGAAATGATGCTACAAAGCTTTAATATTTGCTGAAATATCAAATATATAAATTTGTTTAAAATATCAATATATAAATATCATATATATAAATTTAATTAAAATATCAATATATAAATAATAATATTTGCTGAAATATCAAATATATAAAATTTTTTTTATCAAATCATTAAAAAAAGAAAAAAAACATTTTAAATACAAAAACCATATTTCTCATTTAATACTATGATAACTGTTGAAGCAATCAAGTACTTTTATACAAAAGAGGTAGATTTTATATTTTGTACAGAGAATTGTTGTAAAATCTGATATGCGAAGGTGCCCAATTATTACTGATCCATCATTCATCAGTTATAATTGGTCACCTTCACATAGTTTTTTTTTTTTTTGTAATGCTAAATCTTTTAAAGGACCTTCTCAACCTTCAGATAATAGGTTTACAAATATTTTAGCTTTATAGAATAAATTTCTGTTTGGAATGAAATTAAAGTAAACTGGTTCTTTTTAAAAAAATTAAAATGATGCACGTGACTATGGTATAACAATCAACTGTTTGTAATTGAAGATATGCGTGTAGTACTTATTAATGTGTTGTTTCACACAATATGATGCTAACATGTCACCAAGATCAACACTGCCATATTTTTGTCGTACTCCTAATTTGTTTTTGGGCAATCAATATATATAAAATTCTTGTAACACTATCTTTTTGCAGCTGTTCCATACTCTTATGTCAAGTAATTTGATATAAGTTGTAAAATGTTGTCAAACCACTGGATTATTGTAATTCAAGAATTTGCATCTACTACATAGTCAACACTACCTCTTCCTTGTTTTTTAAAATCCTTTTTGTGAATTTTTTTTTTTAAATTGTTTCAGTGATGATTTTTCTTTTGCTAAACTATTTGCTCATTAAATGAGTGACTCTTCTCAACTGCAATTTTTTAAAATTGTTTCAGTGAAAACTTTCCTTTTGTAAAACTATTTGCTCATTAATTGAGTGACTCTCCTCAACTGCAATTGGCATCCAATGTTATAATACACTTTCTAAGACTAGTCTGATTTTAAACAACTTGTAATTGTCTGGGTGATTTCTGTAATTTGATGCTATTATTGCAAAAATGCAAATTTTTAAAAAACTTTTTATAGACATAATATCTGCAATTATAGATATATGAGTGTTATGAGACCAATATATACATTGACTGGGAAGCTTTATAATAGTCATCATACACATTATTCCTGTTTATTATTACTGTTTATTATTATTTATTATTAAATACTAATAAACAGCCATATGATTTCATTATTCCTGTTTATTATTACTGCTCTATTTAACTATTAGTGTGTTCTAATTAATCTAATGACAGAACTAACAGTCTTCAAGAAACTGTTGCGACTGTTTCTTGAAGACTGTTAGTTCTGTCATTAGATTAATTAGATCATTATCAAAAAAATGTTATATACTGATATGGAGTCATAAAATGTTCAGGTGAAGCAGGAAAAGGACCTTCAAGGAATTCAACATTTTACTAGGTGTCTTTTAATGCCACTTACACTCATAGCTTGATATGTTTTTTGAACCATGTTGTTTTCTTTCGATATAGTCTTCAGTTCCATTTATATCCATTTCACAAGAAGCACCTATTTCAAAATCAGCTGAATCAGTTTCAGATGATTCATAAATAATCTCAATCTTTATCGATTGCAGCTTCTGGTATAAAGTTTTCATTATCACTCAGATCAGATATAAAACTATTATCAAATTCTGTCAATGTATTGGAAACAAAACTCTTGTAAAACTTTTCAAGAAGAATCATTATATTTAGCCTAAAAAGATATTATCAAATATTGCATTATTACTTTCTTTCCCAAAAAAAAAACATATTTAAATATATTGTCACCTCTCAATTTGTAAATAACAGTATAACAGTATATATAAAATAAATTGAAATAAGGACAACAGAAAGACAACATTAAAATTAATTAGCAGTAGCCCTCAAGCATAATTTTATAATTGCTGGTATTTGCAAAAATTGATGACTCTTGATGGACATTGTTGTTGTACAAAACAAAATATTCCATTCACTTATATAGATTACTTTATATGCAAAAACTTAAATAAAATATACAATGAATAAAAGTTCAAAATTGATCAAAAAAAATTTTGTTAAACTATATTGCGCTATGTATATACTCATTTAAATAAGAGAAAAGTAAGCACCCAGCACTTTAAATTAGCCTATCTTTTCATAAATCTAACTGCCATTTAAAAATGCATGTAATTTTAAGTTTAAGCTTGTTAGGTTTCTTAAAATACTTACAAATAAACCAAAACACATTGCCTTTTCATATGCGCGTTGCCTAAAAACAATTTTTAATTTGCTGTTGTTCAACAATCCAGTGCATGAAAGGGTTAAAAACACTTTTTTCATGTTAAAATGTTTAAGAAAAAAAGATTATTTTTTGGTCTGTCCTTAAAACAGTACATTCATTATTTAAAAAAAAATGTAAATATAAAAAATACGCCTAAAATGAGAAATTATTACACATGCAAACCAAGAATGTTAATTAAATAAAAAATCAAAATTGATTTCTAAATGTAAAAATGAAAACAAACAAACTTGCATAATAATAATTATAATAATTATAAAAATCTTTATTAAATATATATAAAAAAACAGAAATAACCCATTTGAAGAATTCTTTTTAAAGTAGCGTAAACATAGTCCACAAATGTGAAACATTACAGTAGTTAAGACATTAACTTTTAAAACATTCTTTACTACTTAATGCTTGATAATTATGTATTACAAATTACAGTTATTACACATTATTCTTATTTAAATTTTGGTATAAATTAAAGTTTACTAATTTTTAAAAGATATATTTCTGATAAGTATTTATTGGCAAAACACCACGAAAAATAAAAAAGTTAACAAGTGATTTTCTACTAATATATTCATACATACTATTATACATATTTTTTTTAAATTAGTTAACTTCTCACAACTAAAATATTCAATTGTATCTTTATTTAATTATATTCAAAAGCTTTTAATTTTTTACTTAGAATGTAGTTAGCTATGAAACTGACTTAAGATTAAATATCAAATTCCTTAAGGGTTGCATACCCAGTGAAACTTTGATAAGGGTTGCATACCCAGTGAAACTTTGATAATTCCACATTCAAACTTGATATTAATTCCAATAACTGATTTCAAACTTCAAATGATTTTATTGAACTATTAGATCAAATTACACAAATTTACAATTTTAATAAAATTAAAAAAAAAAAAAAATTATAAACAACATTGTCTCCTAACTATTGTTAAACATAATAGGTCACCTGTTGTTTCTGATAAACAGTATCTGTTAAAATTCGAGATTCAAGGAGAACATTGCCTAATTTAAAAAAAAAAAATCTATATTTTAAAAAGCAAATAAAATATAATGAAAACAACTCATTATGCATAATTTTAAAAAGTTATTTAAAATTCAAAGTAGATGTCAGACATCAGCGTCCCTCTAGTCCTCCTGATAATTCTTCTAATGGTAGCAACCAACTATAAAAAATTTTGTTAGTCAAATTTCCTATTCAGTCACTTCAATAAAGAGTCTTTAAACACAGGCTAAGAGTGTTCAACCTTTGTAATTAAACATTTAAATTTCTCATATAAGTTTAAAAAAAAATTCATATAAGTTTAAAAAAGATTACTCATAAGTTTAAAAAACATTTCTCATATAAGTTTTAAAAAAATCTTTTTTTAAACTTATATGAGAAATGTTATACTTTCTTGGCTATTGAAATTAAGGAACTAAAAGCTTCAACTTTTGCTTCCTTTATTTCATTATACATGCAATTTACAGCTCTCACTAAAGTATAATTTTGTCACAAAAATAAACCACCTTTTTTCTCTGTTTTCAGAAATTTATGAAAAAAATTAAAAATTCTTGTTAGGCACATTTAAAACATTACCATTACCAACATATGCTTGTAATGAGAATAAAATCAAATATTGTATTTAATGAGCAATTTTTTAAATGAATAAACAGAAAGCTCATGCACAAAATTTAAGTTCTCAAAAAAGCTGTTTAAAAAAGCAGCTGGCATGACTTGCCATGTTTGTTTTAGGTAGGCATTTCTCTGCTCTCCTACTCATTTACTCTGGCCAAGACCTGAATATAGCTGTACAACTTTTCTCAAACAGCAATCATTTGAAAAACTCAGCATTTAAAACTCAGCACTTTTAGCTAATGCAAGCAATTGAAAAAATACAATTTACCTCGGCTTTACTTTGACAATCTTTTTTAAACTAAATTTTGCCTTCACACTAAATCTTTTAAAAACTTTTTCCTATTGTTTCTTTGTGAGTATTTCTTCAAAAAGATTTTTATTATTCCATTTTATATTTGGTTTTAGAAGTAAAAAAATAAAATTATTTATAGTACCTTTTGTTATTTTTGATGTGAATATTACAATTCTATTCTAGTTATCAACTATAAACAAAAAACTTTCAATAGCTAATGTTTTTCTGAAAAAATAATTATTATTATTATTATTATTATTATCAATATTATTATTATTATAGTAGTAGTAGTAGTAGTAGTAGTAGTAGTAGTAGTAGTAGTAGTAGTAGTAGTAGTAGTAGTAGTAGTAGTAGTAACAAAGGGCAAATTAAATGATTGTAAATTGCAATTACCAGAAATATTTCTGGTCTTAAAATTCTCAGTCTATCATTCTCAATAAAAACTGTTAACACTATTTTATGAAAAGGGTCAATTCGTCATATTGGGAAAAGTTATGAAAAACAAAACAATAAATTTACAACTGCAAAACTTACATAATTTAGTTTATAGTTAGAAAACCAGTTAACTTATAAATATTTTATATAAAAAACTAAATTAAAATATTACTAAAGGATCAAAAAAATATGCATGGTAATCTTAAAAATCAATTAAATAAAAATTATACTAAAACTTAAATTTGTATAAAACATTAAAATCCAATTTTAGTTAAATATTTTAAATTAGACATGAATTAATTGATAATAAAAATAATGATTAATAAATATATTTTTATATATGTTATTAAAGTTTTTTAGTTTTATTTTAACATAACTATAAGTTCTTTAAATTAGTTTTTAATTAATTTAAGTAATTTGTTTTTAAACACTTTTTAAAGCATTTAATTAATGGTTATATTTGATCTACAAGAAAATAATATTTAAATAAATAGTCATAACAGTTTTAAATTAAAATATTTATTTATGCTAAATTCCTTTAATCAATCATATACATGTTCTGAAAAAATATTTTCATGGATATTTACAAATAGTAATTTTACTAATCTTAAGTAAACACCAAAAATACAAATCTTTATATATATGATTAAAAATAATTATAAAATAGTAATGATAATAATAAAAATAGTATTTACAGTAATAAACATAAAAACTACAATAATAATAAAACAACAAAAACAATAACAACAATAATCATAATGATAGTAACAATAATATTAATAACAATAATATTAATAACAAAAAATAATAATAAAAATAATTAGTCACTTGTTTCATTAACACAATAGCTAACTATACATAGTTAGCAACATTAAACTAAAAAAATACATATTAATACAAACGAAGCAAAAAATATACAAGAATATAAAAACAAAAAACAACAACAACAAAAAACAACAAACCAACAAACAATGCAAACAGCACACTATTTAGACTATTGTGATTTGTAGTTATTTCATTATCTATTAACTACACTAATTTAACAGTTCTTTTTTTAATAAAACAGTTTTGAAAACTTAGGTTTCTCTTTAATTAACACAGTCAAAAAAATCAGATCCTCAACCCTTGGATTTTGGAAAAATGAAGTCGGCAATAAATACTTAAACTGTTAGAAATAGGTATCAGGCCAGCAAAAAAGAAAATTGACACAAAGAGGTTAACATAAAAACATAAAAACGAAGTCAGCAATTTTTTGCCGACCTCGTTTTTATATTTTATGGTATCTCAAACACTTTGAGGTCAGCAGTTAGGTTGGCATTGCGGAATGCTGACCCTAATCTAAGGGCTGGATCCTAGATCTTTTCCAGGAGATATAATTAGACCACTATTGTATCTTTTCTGATAAAAAGATGCAAGGTTTAGGGGCAACCATTTTGCTCTGTTTTTTCTTTTATTTCTGTTGTTAAAAGCATGTCCACTAACACGATGCTTTCTTTATCTAAATTTCTATGCCAGTTCTAATTAAAACACCTTTTTTACATGTTCATTTTGGCCAAAAAACCTAAAAACTTTTAGAATACTTCTTCAGTCTTAGAATAAAATAAAAATTATCAAAAACTCTTCAAATCTCCTTTACGCAACCACTTTAGCTTGCTAAAAATAACTGTATTTTTTTAATTGATTAAAAATTGAAATAGCTTAAAACTTTTGCAATCTTTTTTTAATCAACATAATAAAAATATAACTTATTGATGCCATTGCAAACCAATCAGAATCTATTACTAACATTTATTTATGTTTATACAGGTTATTTAGATGTAAACAAATACTTTTCAGATACAACGAAAAAAAACCTCAGGTTTAAAAAAAATAGATAAAAAAGTAAATAACATGGCTCCAAAAAAAGATAATTAAAATATTAGGTTTAGTAAATTTAATAAATAAAAACTTTAAAGAATATTTATGATTTCAAAATTAAGAACTTAATAAGAAAAAAAACAACTAAGTATGTTAATTTTATTTAAACCTTAGTATAATTGTTCTTTTGTTTATTAAAATACATATTGTTAACTTAAATTAATATAGTTTTATATTTCAACTATATCTTAAGAAAGCCAGTAAAAAACCGTCATCTTCAGTTTTGTTAAAACCTCAGAAGTCTGTATAAATGTTTTGCAATAAAAAAGATCTGCAAGCAAACTTGGTAAAATTTATTAGTAATATATGTAGATATGTTGGCTGATGGAGTAATGATTGATGGGGAAAACATTTTTTTCCAATGGGAACAAACCATGACAAGCAATAAAATAAAGCTATTTTAAATTATACACGTTTAAATAAAGCTATTTTAAATTATACTTTAATGAAAAGCTTCTGGCTAGGATTTTTAGGCGCTCACAGTAAATTACAAATAAAGATGTCTGAATTGATGTCTTCTTTTTTTTAACAAAAACAACTTAACATTTGAGCAGAATAAATAACACATATAATTGTAACCTTTGAAAATACAGAATCCTACATGATTGTAATAAAAAGGTTTGGCTAAAAATTAGTTGTATCTATAAGTTCTTGGACTATTTCATTTATAAAAGCAACAGAAAAAATTTTGACAAAAATTTACAACTAGAAAAAAAATTCACGGAGTCAATAAAACTTATAGCTTTTTGCATCCCAGCTACAATGCATGAAAATGTTAAACTTCTTTAAACAAGAAAAAAAAAATTCTAGATAGTTCAGGATACAATTTCTTCTACGCGTGATATAAATATTCAGATCATTTTGGAATGTGGTAAATTGATGGTAACTCATTTTCAGTTTTAAAAATAAATTGTTAAAAATAAATTAAAAGTAATAGAACCAGTTCAATAAATTGTTATCTTATACTTAATAAGACATAAAAATTGAATAAAAAATTTTATATGTATTTTTTTGTTTGTTTTTTTTGTTTTATTTAACAATATAGTCAAAATATTTTTTATTTCTATAGTTTGTGAATGCATGTAACAGCAACTTTGTTGAACTAATTTTATAGAAATTCATATACATTTACTGCAAAACTTCAAAAACATTTCTTGTTATAATTTTTTGCACATAGCAACAAATATATTAGGAATATTAGCACTTGGGTTTTAAAAACTTAAAAAAATCTTTTAAACATACATAAATCCATTAAAATACATAAAAATATTTATAAAGTTACTTTCTACAAGTATAGCCTAAATACTCAACTCAACTCACACTCTAGCTTAACTTAACATTCTAAGTAGATTGACCTAATTTAAATTTATCTAAAATAAAAATTTAAGAATTCAAAATTAATTTGAGGTATCAAATTCTCAAAATCGATTAATCAAATTTATTTATTAATGACAACTTATCAAATCATACTTATTTGTTTTTGTTTTTTTTTCAACTAATCTAATAAACAAATCGATCATCCTGAAACATTATATTTAATATCTTTATATTATATATTTCATATACCTTGTAATATTTAGGTGAAGGTTAATAAAATATTCTCTCTCACCATTCTCTTCAGAACGTACAATTAACACTATTCCTTTATTATTCGTGCGTTGATCAACCCCATCAAAGAGAGTCGAGACATGACCAGTACCACGATCAATCCACTGTTTGTTTTCATTTAAAGCATATAATTTAACCCTTCTTCTGATATTTGACATTGTTTCAATAATATACTAAAGTAGGATAAACAACATACATTCGAACGGATGTTAACTGCATTTGAAACCATGTAGCTTTATTGCAATCTTTCTTTTTGCGCTCGCGGGACTACTAGACTTAAATACTATAAGAATGGTGTATTTTTTTCATTGAGTCGTACATCACACTGAAAATAAATATAAAATTTTAGTTTCATTTTTTTCATTTCAGTTAAACGTCAATTTTAATTATTTTAAATTATGCAAAGTGCAACAGTAGTTTCGTGTCAGAGGTTTAAGTTTCTCGGATTACGACTGAAACTGATAATTTTTTAAACTTTCTCAAACTCTTATAACTTATTTATAAATTATAACTTTGAAAAAAACTAATGATTATAATTTTAAACAAAAAAAAAAAAAACTTCTTCATTTCATTTTGTTTTTTGTTTACATTTATTTGTTGTTCTTTTGTTTTATAATTCATATAATATATTTACAAGATGCGAAATAGGATTTTTTGATGCCCTTGGCTAATTTATTTTTGGCGCCCCTAAAAATGGACAAATTTTAATGTATAAAATAGTTAAGTTAAATCTAAATAATGACAATGTCGCATAGCAACAAAATATTATGCAAAGATACTTTGAAGTATTTTAATTGGCTTTTAATTACATTTTTTTTTAATAGTATAAGTAATAAACACAGTAGGCTCGCAGTCGCGGGAGGGTCCAGACTTATTAGGGCCCATGCAAAAAATTTCAAATTTCTTTTTAAAAGTTTTTATTCTTAAAAATAATATGCATGTATATAAACATAGCAACATTAGCAATTTTTACTATTATTATATAGCTAAAAATTACAAGCACTTTTTCAGACTATTTTTTTAGCTTTATTATATCTTGACTAATACTTCAAATAGTGAGCTTTTTATTTATTTATATCTAAAAAATTAAGACAAACTGTGTTAACTCATAAATATACAATTTAGTTAAGTGGTAAGTATGATGTAGTAAGGTATTAAAGCAAAGAATAACAGTGAAGCTATTGTATTAAAACAATAACTTACTTTTAAAAAAAGATTGCTAAGACGGACGTCGAGGTGGCTGTGTCTGATTACTGATGTATTTATCTCTAATGAAATTAATTAGTTCTATAAAACTTTTCTCAAACAAGTTTTGGTATCTGTAAAAGTTAACAATAAACACATACTTATATAAGTTATACATTGACCAAATGATGCTAATTTAATATAATATATCGTTGAATCCTTCAAATTAGCTCATAGCTTAATTAGGAAGCCCTATGATGGCTGCTTCATTGCCGGTAATTTTAACAATCACATTTTGTTTAAGTCCAGACACCCTATGGTTGCTCAAACCATATGTTGAACTTGTTATTTACCTGCAACAGTAATTCTATTTTAAAATTGTTTTCTAATTCAATATTAGGTAATAGTACTAAGGGCCGCTTTAGGAATAATAACCTTAAAATAAACATCTATCTTCTTAATCGTTCCGTAAAAGCTGAAATATTTAAAGCAAAAAGAACATATAAAAAAAAGATAGTATTAAAATTAACAATAATAAAAAGCTCTCTGCAAATCAACATGGCTTTCTTCACCATAAATTATGCGAGACTAATCTAATAGGGACTTTTGATATTATTTCATCTTTTATAGTATTTCACCAATTTATTGATCTAATCTCGATTTCGCCAAAGCGTTGATTCTCTACCTCAAATAAGACTTAGCAACTGCAAAAAGATCCTTAAGCACATTAAACACATTTAAGAACAATAATGGCGCAAATTATTTTATGTGTACTAGTCCTAATAGCTACTGAAGCAGAAATAGCAATAAAAAAAAAAATTACCACTAGGTATTACTGAAAAAAAGCTCCTTAAATCTGTAAAAGGGTTCCAAAATTTTCATCTTTGTTTAAAAAACATTTATAAAAGCCCGGCCAAACGTGTTTTGATAAATGTTTGATAAATGAAAACGCATATTCTGGTATTAATAATAAAAATACCATTAACATTGTAATTTTGAATAATAATTTTGAAAGAAATTTATTTAAAACGTCAAGAGTTAGAGGGGAGAGAAAAGTTCCAACGACCATCATCCTACAAAACACGCCGTCTAATAAAAGTTTACGCCCGTTTTTAACAATTCTGTGAAATTAAAATTTTACGCTGCTCGTGACGTACGTAAATTAATCACGGCGTTACTTTTTTCTCAAAAATCTCCCGATAGCCGTTTTCACACTTACAGCCATAGTAAGTGGAAACCATGTAAAAATAACAATAAAATTTTAATAGAGATCAATCAATATCAAAAAAACTTGAATTCGATTTAGGGGTCGTCCATAAATTACGTCACGCTTTTAGGCGATTTTGTGACGATTTGTTACGAGGTGGAAGGGCGTCTCGATTTTGTGACGCAATATTTTTTTTTTTTTTAGAGAAGACGTTTTTTTAATTAAAAGAGTATCTGACCAAATCAAAACCCTCAGTTGATGTATCTGCATGTTGATTGTAAAATTAACTACGCCTAAATCTTACTTAGTCAATGTGTACACTCTGTTACAGCCTGTTAACGATTACAGCCTGTTAACGGACTGTTACGGCTGTTTGTGTAGTGCACGTCCTGTGCTTTGAATTTAAGTGGTTCAAGTGCAGAACTTAATTTAGTTGGTGCACAAAAGTGTACATCAACAAAATTAAGTTCTGCACTTGAACCATTTACTTTTCGGTACTGAGAAACGAACCTTGAACCCTGCGTTTGCTTGCCAGAGGCAGAATCCATTCGACCATTCTTACGTTGATGTTGGAAGAAAATTAAACTTTTAAATTTATACTTTTGCATGTATATTATGTTATTAATTATTATATATTATATATATATATATATATATATACATATATATATATATATATATATATATATATATATATATATATATATATATATATATATATATATATATATATATATATATATATATATATATATATATATATATATATATAGTTTATTTTTCCGAAATATAATACATGCAAAATATTATATATATATATATATATATATATATATATATATAAGTTTATTTTTCCGAAATATAATACATGCAAAATATTATATATATGAATATATATATATATATATATAAATATATATATATATATACATATATATATATATATATATATATATATATATATATATATATATATATATATATATATATATATATATATATATATATATATATATATATATATATATATATATATATATATATATATATATATATATATATATATATATATATATATATATATATATATATATATATATATATATATAATATTTTGAATGTATAATATTTCGGAAAAATAGACTTTTCAAACTGTTATCATGTTTAGGAGAGCGATGTTAGTTTATACAATTTTACACGGAACTATTGGGGTGAAAAAAAAACATTAAACAGACTGAAAAGTACTAATTAATTAATTTTTTTTTTTTTTAAATTAATTATGTTTTTTTTTTGTTGTTTTTTTTTCCTCATTTATTTAGCCGTTCAAATATTTACAAGTTCCGTGTTTTATAATATTTATAAAAATGGCAAGGACGAGAAGAAGACAGGTTTGCCTTGTCCAAGTCCCTTGTTTTTTCAAAATATTTTTATAAATACGTTGTAACTAAAATTAAAAATTAAAAATGAGAGAAAAAAGCAAAATGTTTCAAAAAAGTTTGTACAAAATGCAAAACAGTTTAATAGAGTCTTTCGGAGTTAATTTTAATGTTTAAAAAATATTTTTAATTAATTAAAAAGTTCTCAATAACATGAAGGTTAACTACGGTAATGCAATGCTACTTATATTCAAATTTCAAAGTTATTCATTGAAAGAAAATTTAATAATTGTAAATAAAACAAAACCTAAAGTGAACATGTTTTTGTCAAAACCTTGAAAAATAATCTGAATGAGATGAAGAATGGCATGATCAGTAGAGTGCCCTGTTTTGAAGCCAAATTCTTTGTTGTAAAGAATATTATTTTTTTTCTAAAAATGAGTATAATTTGTTTTACATAACGCGTGCTAGTATTTTCGAGAAGCAAGGAAGTATGGAAATAAGTCTAAAGTTCGAGATATTAGTATCATCTGCAAATTTAAAAACTGGTATTATCCTTGCAATTTTAAGTTTTTTTTGGAAAGATTCGTTGTTTAAACAAAAGATTAAACATATACAGAAGAACTTTTTTAATATAGAAAATACATTTAGTTACAACATTACTACTAACGTTATCAACTCCTAGTGCTTTGTTTATTTTTAATGAATGTACAGCATCTAATTATTCTTTTTCTGTTAACTCAGCATTTTCCATTATTGATTTGCTAGGAGTCAAGTATTTCTCCTTGTTAAACTCACTGTGTTTTAATTTTGATGCTAATTTAAACCTGCATTGACAAACACCTCATTAAATGTTTTAGCAATTATAGATTCATTTGTAATATTTTGATGATGATAATTTAGTTTTTTTGGAAGACCATTTAGCTTAAGTGTTTTTTTAAGTGCTTAAGTGTTTTCCAATTACTTCTTTAATAACTTGCCACGTTTTTTGAGTATCGCCTTTAAATTTTATTATTATAGGCCGGGTGAATAAAAATGAGCAACTGCTTTTACTCAGTAATTGGTCAGCTTTACGTGAATAAAAACATTAGCAGTTTTGCTCAAATTTTTATTCACGTACAAATAAGCAGTTTACTTAGTATTTGTTCGGCTTTACGTAAATAAAAACTTAGGGAAAATTCCTTTAGCTTTTATTCACGTAAAGCTGACCAATTACTGAGTAAAAGCAATTGCTCGTTTTTATTCACCCGGCCTTATATTTGAATAGTATAACTTCTTTTAAAGTTTTATAATTGATTCAAAGTGGCCTTTATATTTTTTATACCTTAATTCATTTTCATAAGTTCTTTTTTTCAGAATCACTTCATAAAATCGTTTTTTTTTTTGATGATTTTATCAAGGGTTTATAAATGTTTTAGTTTTAATAATTTGTGTTACCAGTGGGAAAGCATTATAATAGTGTTTTTTGAATATCTGAAGAAAACTGTTATAAGCAGTATCTGTGTTTTG